ACATCCTTGGCATCCCCCAGGTGAGCCAGGTGGAACCGGTGAGGCGCGAGGGTGAGCTGTGGCAGATCCGGGTCCAGGCGGGCCTCAGCGTGGTGGCTATCATAGCCGTGGACATCTTCTTTCACTTCTTCTACATCCTCACCATCCCCAGTGACCTCAAGTTCGCCAGCCGCCTGCCAGACAGCGCCCTCGGTGGGTGTGCGAGGGACCCAGAACAGGGATGAGGACTGGGCCATCACCCAGAAAGATAGACCTATATTCCCAGTGTTCCCCAAAGTGTGGTACGCGTACCCCCAGGGGTACGGGAAGCGTTTGGTGGGGGTATGCACTGCACCGTGCTTAGCTGCGCCTAATTCTACGTTCTTATGAGTACAAGGGGTACTTAGCGTTACGAAAATTATAGAAGGGGTACGGGGCCTCGGGCTGATCCCCACAATGGGATGGGGTCTCCCTGAGGTGGCCAGGATCCAGGAGGTGGGGAGCAGGGTGCCCATGGAGCGATCTGGGCAGCGGGACCTTCTCCCGGGCCTGGAGATTGTCAGAAGCAGGAAACCAGACTCAGTGAGTCTCCCTAGATTTGGGTGTCTGGGCTGGGGAGACAGGTGCAATACCCGTCAGGCCATGATAACATGCTGTCCCCAGCTGCCCTCGCCTACTCAAACCTGGTGTATGACTGGGTGAAGGCCGCCGTCCTGTTCGGCGTAGTCAACACGGTGGCGCGTCTCGACCACTTGGACCCGCCCCAGCCTCCCAAGTGCATCACGGCGCTCTACATCTTTGCGGAAACGTGAGTGTGGGCATCGGGCATCTGGGGACACACCCTTGGGTTCCCTGGCTTTCCTGAGCTCCTTCCCCTACGTGATTCACACCCAGCTGCCCTCCTCCCACAGGCACTTTGACCGTGGCATCAATGACTGGCTTTGCAAGTGAGTCGGGGTGGGGTGTGGGGATGGTCACAGTCATGGTGCCAGGGGTTTGAGCAGGCAGTGCAGAGATTGGTCCATGTTTGAAAAGATCATCTCTGGCCCAGAGGAAGCAAGGAGGACAAGGAGGAGAGGGTGGCAGAAGTCTAGGTCAAAGACATAGCAGTTTGTGGTGGAGTGGGGCCCTGGAGGTGAGAAAAGAGTCCGAGTAGAGACACACAACAGGAAGCCTGGGCAGGACTTGGCCATCATTTGCAGAAATCAGGACAGCGAGGGAGATGATTCCCAGACTCCTATCTGTGGTTCCCAGAGAGGGTTCCAACTGAGAAATGTCTGGTTGGCTTCTGGGAGATACATCTGTGGAAGTTCAGGGAGGTGGTTCAGGGAAGCCTGGAGGATGGATGGAACGCTGAGCATCATGGGTGTGGGTGGTCTTTCGGCCTTGGGTGTCCCAAGGAGAGAGAATAGAGTGAGAAGAGTAAAGATGGGTAGCTGAGATTGGGCCGGAAAGAACTCTGGTTGGGGGAGCAGTAAGAGCAGGTGGAAAAGATGAAAGGAGTGGTCATTGGAACAGGAGGAAAGCCAAGGCCGGGTGACATCCTGGAACGTCGAAAAGACCATCCAGGTTTGGTGGGTGCGACTGGGCCAGGTGCCGCTGGGGTCATGAAAGCTAGCACTGAGTGTTAGTTTTGGGGGCGTGGAGGATTCAGCCTTTCATGGGAGAGGCCGGGGCAGGTGAGGCGTGAGAAAAAACAGAGGAACTACGGGGGAATTCATGTGTGAACCACTTTGGGAAGAAGCCTGGCTCAGCAGGGGGAGACAGAGGAGTGGCTGGCAGAGATGTGGGGGTTTTAAAGACAAGAAATAGTGGGACATGCTTGGGTGCTGGAGGGAGTACTGCATAGAGATGAAGGAGTTGGTGATGCAGGATAGAGGACTGATGGGTGGAGTGAGGCCCATCCTAAGAGGGAGAAGGAGATGGGACCAGCAGAGGCCTGGCTTCAGGTCATGGGAAATCAGTGTGCTGCTGAAGGATAGCGGGTTCATGTAGAAGGAATCCCTTTGGGAGAGATTCCACCCAAAGGCTCTGGTTTTCTCTAGGAAGTAGGAGGTGAGGTCACCAGCTGAGAGAGGCAGGGTTGGGGGCATGGAGGGAGGTGGCATCTGTGTGTCTTCCACCATCCTGCCTAGATCCCCCCACCCCCACTCCCTTTGGCATTGAGAGCCCAGGTGAGGTTGGAGACAGTGGATTTATGGACTCGAATGTGTGAAGGTGTGAGATTTCCCCCATCAGCGCTTAGCTTCTTGGGTGCTGGGGAGGAAAAAGTGGGTGACTGGGCCCTCCCAGGTGGGTGAGAAGAAAGAGGGGAGGAATAAAGGGTTTTAGGTTATTTATAATGATGACTCACTGAATATAAGCCCCTTGAGGAAGATGAGGAAGGGTGGGTGTCAATGAGACTGGAGAACAGAGCCGGGAGGCCAGGCCAGGAGGGACTGGGGGGAGAATGGGAATTAGGAATGAGTGAAATTTCAAGTGGTGACAAAGTTGGGGTGTGGCCATGGGAGTGGGTGGTTGAGGTGGACTGGAAAAGAAACCATTGGAAATGAGGTCAAGGATGGTACTCAATGGGCCGTCTACTGAATTTATTTAACCAATATTTATTAAGCACCTACTATGTGCCAGGCGCTGTTCTAGGCATTGGGGATACATCAGTGAGCATGGCAAAGACCCCAAGCTCATGGAGCTTGCAGTCTAGTGGGGTGAAATAGACCACAAACAGGTAAACACACACATAAACTATTTCAGAGAGTGGTAGGCATTATGGAAAATGCACACAGCATAATGGGATAGAAGCTGGCCACAGGATCTGGGCAGTCCTCTGTGCGGTGATATTTGAACTGAGATTTGAGAGATCAGGGAATGTGGGGATGATAATTTGCCATAGGGGAGCAACCGGTGCAAAGGCCTTGAGGCAGGGACCAGCTGTGTCTGAGGGACAGGAAGGCCAACGAGGCCCGAGCAGAGGTCATGAGGGCAAGAATGGTGGTGATGCGGTGAGAAGGCGGGCAGAATCCAGAGGACCTGGGATCATCTAGCCGCAATAAGGAAGCTGAGTTTATTCTCATTGTAATGGGGGAAAGGGTTTGATTGTGGACGTGATGCGATCCAAGCCACACTCTTAAATGATGCCTCTAGCTGCCGTGAGGGTAGGGGGCCAAGGCAGAAGCAGGGAGATGACCTAGAGACGGGCCTTCATCTCTGTGGGAGGAGATGGCCTGGACTAGGACGGTGGTAGCGGAGTGGTGAGCAGTGGCCCGGGCTGAGGGGAGCCCATTTGCAGGCGCGGAGGTGGGTGGAGGTGGGAACGGGGTATGCAGGAAGGCATGAAGGCTCCGGGCCTATCACTGAGTGTCATGAACTGAGATGCAGATGCAGTGGGTTTGGGCAGGGATGGGGGAACCTGCCCTTCGAGTGAGGAGTCTGGTAACCGTGGGAGAGAGGAGAGAGGAGTTCGGAGGGAGGCTGGGCTAAAGACACAGGTTTGGGGCGCCCACCATAGGCTGTGTTCAGAGCCTTGTGTTTGGATGCGGCCACCTGGGGACTGAGGGAGCATAGCTGGGGGAGATCTGGAGTCCCGGGCTGAGCCCTCCACCTTCCAAAGTTGGGTCAGGAATGTTGGCTGTGCATCGAGGAGGGCTGTTCCTGCTGGGTACCCTTTGCTTGTCTCCTACCCGCCTTTTCCCATAGGTACGTGTACGACCACATTGGCGGGGAGCACTCTGAGGTGATCCCCGAGCTGGCTGCCTCAGTGGCCACATTTGCCGTCACCACGCTGTGGCTTGGGCCTTGTGATATTGTCTACCTGTGGTCACTCCTCAACTGCTTTGGCCTCAACTTCGAGCTCTGGGTGCAGAAGCTGGCAGAGAGGGAGCCCTTGGCACAAATGGAGGTGAGCAGGGAGGGGCTGACTGGCACCGCTGCTCTCTGAAGGCTCCCGGCCACACTTGGTCCCCAGGCCAGAATTCTCTCACCACCACCCTCCTGGTTGTCAGGACAACAGCTCACCTGGGCGGGTATCTGGCCTCCCTGCCTTCTGTGTGGTGTGGAACACCCAGGCTGGCTGTGTTGGCCAGGCCCTGCCCTCTCTCCAGACCTCAGTTTGCCCGATTTTAACGAGAGAGACCTGGCCTGGGACTCTCAGACCCGGGCACGTCCAAGGGGCTCCGCGGCCATGTGGGAAGGCCTCTGACCGACCATGACCTCTTCCCTCTGGGCCTCTTGCCACACTGACAATGCTTTCCTGCACCACGCAGGCCTCTCTGTCGGAGCAGATGTCTCGCAGGGTCCGGGGCATCTTTGGGGCCATGAACTTCTGGGCTATCATCATGTACAACCTTGTAAGCCTGAACAGCCTGGAGTTCACAGAGCTGGTCGCCCGGCGTCTGCTAGTCTCAGGTGAGGGACAGGAAAGAGGTGAGGTACAGAACGTGCCAGGCAGCGCCGTCGAGGACCGTAACCTTTTGCAGTGCCCCCACCTCACCTCCATTCCCCAGGGCGGGTCGAGGGGGAAGGGCATGACTGAGAAGAGTCATCAAGGACCTCTTCCCTCCACAGGGTTTCCCCAGACCACACTGGCCATCCTGTTTGTCACCTACTGTGGTGTCCAGCTGGTGAAGGAGCGAGAGCGAACCCTGGCGCTAGAGGAGGAGCAGAATCAGGACAAGTTGAAGCCGGAGTAGGCGGGAAGGGGGGAGGGGACGGCTCGGCTCAGCCATTCCTGGGCCCAGGCCAGGCCAGGCCAGATGGGGCCTGACTAAGAGAATAAAAGGCTTTTCTATCACAGTTTGGCTGGTCCCTCCCTGCCCCCCGCCCCAGCCGTCCCCTGGCTCCTTGTCTATGCAAGGTGAGGAGCAGGGGGTTCTGGGCCTCGGGGAGAGGGTCAAGGTCTTGGCACACACAGTGTGGAGGAGACACCAGCATGGAGGGCAGAGACCACCAACCCAGGGAACCCCAAATCTGAGCATGAAAGCCCCAAACCTTCAAACTAGCTGGTCACTAACTCTTGGAGCCCCAGCTTCCGGGCCCTGAGCTGCCCGCTCGGAAGGCACTTTATTCTTCTCGCAGAAGGAGACCTGTCTGTGCTGCAGGGAGTGCTCGGTGGGGACCGTCCCCACCCGACAGCCAGCACTGGGTCCTGTGGGGAATTTGCTGGCACGCAGCTGGGCTGGGACAGGCTCGGGATGGAGCCTGGGATGTGACCCTGTGGTTCTGGCTTAAGAACAGGAGGATACAGAGACCCCAGAGAGGCCTAACATGCCTCGCCCCTGCCCCAAGGCTAGGACTGGGCAGCTATTACCTTCCCCGACTGAAGCAGCCACTCGGCCACTATCACAGGTCCAGGCGGGCTCCGGCCCCTCCCGGCCTCATCCCCGGAGCCCCCAGGAGGCCCGGCCTGTGTGGGCCTCAGGATGGGACGGCGCTTCGTTCAGGCCCTTCGCGCTGGTCACATCTTGGTCAGGCGCAGCACGTTGAGTCGCACCGGGAGGAAGGTGGCACCGGTGGCATAGGCCATCTCCCGCAAAACACCCTCCCACTTCTTCTCCTCCTCGTTATATCTGCAGGCGGGGCAGGGACAAGGCGCTTGGTCAGCCGAGTCCAGAGGGAGACCCAGCAGGAAGGGGTGGCCGGGAGCTCTAGGCCCACCCCTGAGGAGTCCCCATCCCTCCCTCCCCCAGCCCTGAAGAATGGCCCACTCCTAGAGATTCCCCATGTTCCGGGAAAAGTGCCCACACACTCACCCCCAGAGAACATTCACCCCACATTCCTCTGAGAAGGTCTGCATCTTCCCTTGAGATGTAGAGTTTCCCTCCTCAGCCCTCCAAGCCCCCCCAACTCCCACTGTCCCAGCAGCAATGCCCCTGGAGGCTGTCGGCAGCAGTGGGAGAACTAAAGGATCAGAAGGTGCCCAGGTGGCTCAGACCGCTCCCCTCCCTCCTCAGGAAGGACCAGCCATGGACCATGGAAAGCCATGGCTCTGTGAAACGGGGTCGGGCAAATCTCAGTCCTGGCCCCAGCCCTCCCCCAAGGGCCTCCAGGAGGGAGGGGAGAGGAGAGGGCCCCTCTACTTCAGGACCTGTTTCCATGGGTCTGGGCCCCACAGCGGGGCACGGTGTCATGTATGCAAACCCAGACTTCCCAACCAAACTGGAGAGAACCGGGGCTGAACGGGGTCTACCGCCCCTTCCCACCAGGGCTTTCAGAAGAGGGATCAGCCTGCCAGGAGCCTCGGTGCCCGGCCGCGATGCTGTGAGCCGTCAGCCTTGCTCCCGATGCCCCTCGCCTCCCCGGGGCCAGGCTCACCTCCAGATGTCATTGAGCTCCGTGGGGACCAGCTCCCCGGACTCAGTCTCCAGGGTGGCAAAGCCGCCGATGGCGTAGAGGGTGCCCGCCAAGCTGACCAGGCTGAGCGAGCTGCGCTCCTGCGGGAAGGCCTCAAAGGGCGACCACCTGAGGCGGGGGGGGAGAGGGTGCATCACCGGGAGGCCTCAGCAAACCCAGTGACTGTCCCGCCCCAGCACCCACAGCCTCAGTCGCATCCCCCTGAAATCTGAACCCCAGGGCCCCGGGCTCTCAACACAACCTCCTGCCCTGGACCTTCTCAAGAATGCCCACCTGGTGCCCCTGCCCAGGCCTCAGCGTGTCCCAACCCTGTTCCCCTCCCCCTTCCCTCTGGTATCCACGTCCTTTCCCATTCAATGACCCACCCCCCAACACTTCCCTACACTGTCCCTTTGACATGCTACCCAACCTGCCCCCCAAAATCCACTCTGGACTGCCCCAGTGTCCCTCCTTCACTCCTGAACCAACCCCACTTGCTAGCTCAGTGGTTATTAAGCTCCTGACCCCTTGGACTCCTGCCCTGACCCCTTCTCCCACAGTCAGTCCAGTTACTCTTAAGGAGTCTTCATCCCCACCCTCCAAACCGCTCTCAGGTCCCCGACTACCCAGGGCTTGGGAGTCCAGGCCCAGAGCACGCACTCTGCCCGTGTGACTTGCTTCATGCCCCACCCCTACCCCCACATCAGCTGGCATGAAACATCTTCGTAAAACACAGATGTGAGCTCAAAACCCCTCAGAGGCATTGCATCGCCTTTGGGATAAAGTTCCTCAGCCCTGCCGGCTGCCTCTGCAGCCCCAGTACCTCCCTCGCCACACTCTGTCCAACCTGGGCCATTCCTCCAAACAGGTCAGCCTTCTCCTCCTCACTGCCTCGGCACCAGCTGTCCTTGGCCTGGGCACCCTTCTCCCGTCACAGCTGTGACCCCCCAGGCAGGGGAGCTTGGTCTCCCTGCACCCCTGGTACCAGGCCAGTGCCTGGTGTGAGGCTCTGAATGAGGACCCCGGCATCTACCCAACTCCTGGGAGCTAGCTCTCTCCTGCCCACCAGGCTGGCCATACCCGTCGCCTCACCTCACCACTGATCAGGGGAGAGGGACTCTTTCTGTGCTGATGTCCAAACTCAACTGTGAAGACCCAACCCAGGAGCCATGCTGCTCTCCGGGCCTGGCTCAGAGAGGCCCGGCATAGGCCCGAAGCCACCCAGCCAGGGGGTGCCGGGGGGTGGGGTTGTGGGGGAGGGCCCTGGGCCCTGGTTGCCCTGCCCGGGGAAGGGAGGAAAAAAGGAGACAGTGGCGTACTTGTTGTCTGTGATGCTGTACACCTCCACCGAGCTGGTCAGCCCTGTGTCCGTGACCCCCGCGGCCACAAAAATGCGGCCATCGTGGACGGTGGCCCCGAAGAGGGACCGGGCCGTCTGCATGGGAGCCAGCTCCTTCCACTCGAACTTCTTCGGGTCATAGACGCACATCTTATTCAGGCACTTCCTGGGGTGGGGGTGGGGGGGTGAAGGGGGAAGCAGGGAGTGAGGGCCGGGAAGTGGGAGCAGGGCACCTCCCCTACCGCCCCCTCCTCCGGCCCAGTCCCGCCCCAGGCAGCCAGGACGCCTGCAGCCCTTTGCTGCCCCCGCCCCAGGCCGGAGCCTCACCTGTTGCTGCCTTTGCCGCCGATGACGTAGACGAGGTCCATATGGGAGAGCACTGCGTGGCCGTACACTGCGTAAGGCAGCGGGTCCGATTCACCCCATTTGAACGACCTGGAGGGGAGGGGAGAGGGTAAGCACACTCCGTCTCTGTCTCTGCACCCACCCACCCACCCACCCACCCGACACGTATTCCGGGTGCACCTGATACATTACCAGAACTCCCCAGACCTTCATTTCCTCGCTTCCATCTCACCTGCCAACCAAGGTGCCTTGCCCCTACCTAACGGGGTCTCCTTAGGGTTCCTGGCCACACCCCGTGGCCCTAGAGTCTAGACCGGCGCCCTGGCGCCGGGCCCCACCCGCATCCTCACCCCTGCCCCCTGGCCCACCCCTGCCCGCGCTCACAGCCTGTCGTAGCACATGACCGAATCCAGGCTGCTCTCCCGCTCCTTGAGCTCCCGGCCGCCGACCACGTAGATGGCGTTGAGAGCCTCTCCCAGGCCGAAGAGGCAGCGCGGCGAGGGCAGCGGCGGCATTCCCAGCCACTCTGAGTCCAGGTGGTCAAACTGCGGGCGGGGGTCCGGTCAGCTTCTTTCCCCCGGCCCCCTCCCCCCGGCTCCATCCCCAGTCCCAGCCCCAGCCCAGCTCAGCCCCATCAGACCACCCGGTCACCGGTCACCGAGGAGCCCAAGGCTCCAGGCAGGTGGTTCCTGGAGGCAGTGCCCCTCCCCCTTTCTGGTTGAGAAAGCCGACCCACCTCCACCCCATTCCTGAACAGGCAGATGACGGGAGATCGCCATTATGGCACCGGGATGGGCAGCTTCCCCCCCCCTTCCCCCCCGCCGGGCCTGGCCCTCCCCCTGTACACCTCCCTGCCCCCTGTTCTCCACCTCATCCCCTGGCCCAGGAACCCACTCACAGCCAGCTCTGCCACTCAGCCCTCAAAGCCTACGGTGCAAGTCTGTCGCCCTGTCCGCCTGGACAGACTTATGACAAAACCAGAGGCTCACCTTTTTGAAAAGTTTTCTGATGGACACTTTATACCTGCCGTTTAACCTTCAAATGACCTTACCAAGCAGGAGGAATATGATAATACCCTCACTTATGAATGGAAGCTCAGAGGGAACGAACATGTGCCCACCTGTGCCCACCACACACTAGGCTCATTCTCTGCCACCCTCCCCTCTGGGTCTCCAGATTCCACCCAAGTGGCAAAGCTCACACCTACATGGCCTGCCCTCAGGAAGCCATGTCTATCCCCTGAGATCCCACAGTCCCACGAAAGCTTAGACTGGGCACCCCTCCCTGCCCCCCCCCCCCGCTCTACTGGCCCTTCCTGTGCCTCAGTCTCCTCATCTGTGTAATGGGAGGGCTAGGTAGGATGATCCCTTTATCTGGGACTCACTGTTCCATACTCCAGTCCCCGACTCATGCAAAGGCCCTGCCCAGAACCCCTACACTGACCTTGCCCCTCCTTCTCACTGTGCCTGACCCCAACCCTCCAACATATCGGACTATCCTGGGGCTAACATCCCCCAGAAGCTGAGACACCACAGTTATGGAGCCATTGTCCACTGCCTACCACTGCCTCCAGCTTTCAGGCAAGTGGCTGCCAGTGAACCTTCCTGGCCTACAGCTCCCTGTAGACCAAGGACATTCACCAACAAGTAGACACAGGTCTCTCCTGGGCCCCAAGGCTGACCCTAGTCCCCAGCCCTACCTCCCCCCCGCCCCCGACCCCCTCCCAGGGCTGGCCAGGCACCTGCAAGAAGTAAGAGCTCATGGGGTCCTCTTTGTTGTCCTCATTGAAGAAGAGGCCCCCGGCCACGAAGACCTGGTTCTCCTTGGTGACCAGGCTGGCGTGGTTCTTGGGGATCTGGGTGGAGAGGGAGGCACAGTAGCACTCATTGGCGGCCGGGTCGTAGGCCACAGCGCCCTCCTCGCTGATCATAAAGATGAGGTCCTGCAGGAACATGCCAAAGCGCAGCGTGTCATTGAGGATACCAGGGAGGACGCGCTCGCCCTCCTCCTCCTCCTCCTCCTTCCCCTCGGCCTTGGCTTCGCCAGCGCCGCCCTTGCCAGCCGCCTTGGGCCCGGCCGCCTCCTTCCCCTTGTCCTTCTTCTTCTTGCGCAGCACGGTGAGGCGGCCCTCGTGCGCGTCCTTGACCATCTGCAGCTTGCGCAGCAGCTCGGGCTGGGCGCGCACCAGCGGGTGGCGCTCCACGCGGCTCTCCAGGAAGGCGCGGGGCAGCAGGCGGCAGCGCACGCTCTCGAACACGGTGGGCAGCGCGCGCTGGCGCTCGGCCTGGGCCTCGGGGTCCGCGCCGCCGCCGGCCGCCCACTGCATCACCGCCTCGAACACCGCCTCCTCCTTCTCCACGTTGAGGCCGTCGCTGGAGATGATGGCGATGAGCTCGTCGGCCGAGAGCCCCAGGAAGTCGGCGTCGCGCGCCACGAGCGGGAAGCGCGCGCAGATGAAGTCGCGGGCGGCCACGGCCAGGCGCGCGCAGTCCAGCAGGAGCCCCAGGCGGAACACGGCCAGGCAGTTGGACAGGCACAGGCGCTTCTGCAGGAAGGACACGCAGATGGTGAAGATGGACGGGATCTGGAAGCGGTGCGCCGCGGCGAACAGGTCCTGCACGCTCGCCTCGTCCAGCGAGATCTCCGACGTGTACAGGTAGTGCAGCACCTGCGCCACCACGTCCGGGGCCACCTCCTCCAGGCGCAGCTCGCCGCCCGCCGCCGCCTCCGGCTCGGCCAGGAAGCGCGCTCGGAAGTAGGGGCTGCAGGCCGCCAGCACCAGGCGGTGGCACGGGAACTCGCGCTCGCCCACCCGCACCACGCAGTCCAGGAACTTGCCGTGGTCCAGCATGTCCTTGAGCCCGTCCTGCAGGAGCGTCTGCTGGTACAGCCGCTGCTCCTCCGCCTGCTCCAGGCCCACCGCCATGGCGAGCGGCCTAGGGTGCAGCCACTGGGGGTGCTGGGTGCCGTCTGCAGTCCCTGTTCCCCTGCTCCCCTGCTGGGCGGTGCTCAGCCCGCGCAGCTGTCCTGGTGGGCTATATATAGAGGTGGGCCTGGCCCTGTAAGGCGAGCTGCCTGGCCTCCCGCACATGACGCAGCGCGGGGACAGCTGGGCACAGGCCCGCTCCCAGCAGCCTTGACCCAGCCCCGCGGACTCATGGGACAGGAGTGGGGTTTCTGGGCCCTCCCGGGAAGAGGGGGGCCTCACTGCCTCATTTCTAAATGGAGCACGGCATGGCCTTCATCGCATTCCTAGGTTGGGCAGTGCCCCTTGGGGGCGGGGGAGGGGATGGCCAAGTTCTGCCCCTTCCATCAGGGAGGGAGGGGCGGGTATTGGAGCCCACCTTGGGTCTCCCTTCATGCCTTCTGGGTCTTTCCATCAGGCGCCTCTGTTTCCGCTCTGGAGTGTATCTCACTCCAGCCACTGCTGGATACAGTGTGCCTGGGTTTGTGCTCAGAGAATGTGAGCATGGCCTTCAGTCGTTGGGGACCTTGTTGTCCCCCCTTTAAAATGGGAAGATCTTCTCCCATGTCTGCCCCAGCTCTGCGACACTCCTTCAACTGTGCAAGAAAGCAAGAAGGTGTTTTAGGTAAACAAGATGGTCAGTTTTTAGGAGAACCCACACACACACACACACACACACACACACACACTATATCTATCTATCTATATCTATATCTATATCTATATCTATATCTATATCTATCTATCTATCTATCTATCTATCTATCTATCTATATATATATATATATATATATATATATATATATATATATATATATTACAGAGAGGAAAGGAGAGGGAGAGAGAGATAGAAACATCAATGATAAAAGAGAATCATCGGCTGCCTCCTGCACACCCCCTACTGGGGATAGAACCCGCAACCCGGGCATATGACCTGGACTGGAATTGAACCTGGGACCCTTCACTCCGCAGGCTGACACTCTATCCACTGAACCAAACCTTCTATGGCAAACTATATATTCTTATTGATCAATCTCAGAGAGGAAGAAAGAGGGAGAGATATAAACATCAACGATGAGAGAGAATCACCAACTGGCTGCCTCCTGCACGGGTGGCCACTTCTCTGTGGAGCCTGGAGCAGGTCAGATCTCTTTGCTGAGCCTCAGTTTCTCTTCCTACCCTGTGAGGAGGTGGACAAGTTAGACTAGGAGGGCCTCAGCTCAGTTCTGCTGAGGTTCAGAAGCGCTGAGGTTCTGTATTCCTAGGAGGACATAGTCACAGGGTATTAGCACTGTTAGGTGTCAGACATGCTAGAAAATTAATTTCCTAGAATTCGACTATTCTAGGTGTTCAAAACCCCCAGGTATTTAACATTCTGAGGGAGTGACATTCTGGATTCTAGGGTTCAAAAAGACGTTCACTGTCTGTGCTCATTGGTCTTGGTCCATTCTAGGCTTGGCCTTGGGGCCCCTGCACCCTGTGACAGCCTAAAGGATCAGGGTACAGGCCCAGGACAGCCAGTCCCTGTGCCCGCACTGCTGCTCTGGACTCCTGACCACCCCACCCCCTTTCACACACACACACACACACCAGCCTCAGCCACCAAGATTAACTTGTTTCCAAAGTGCCGAGGCTGCAGCTGTGGGTTAAATTTAGCCCCCAGGACACTGGTGTGGACCGTGCTGGGGTATTCTCCCATCATTCCTCTGAGTCACTTGTTTATAACCTCAGGCTTCGGGGGATGGGAGGATTGGAGAGGGGATCGCAGGCTGGTCCAGGACTGAGTCACCTCCCCTTTTGTGTTCTCAGTGTCTCAGTCACTGCCTATTCCTCCTGAGCAGTGCATTTGACCATCCATTCATCCCTTGCTCACCCTGCCAGCAGGTCCCAGAAGGCCAGCCCCTGGGACGCCCTGGAGGTGGTCCTGTGCTCCTTGCAGAAAGGACAAGCAGGACGAGTGGTGGACCTCCAACCCAGCCCTGGACGGCAGGGCACTTCCAGCAAGAACCGTCCGTACACAGGCGCCGAGAGGCTAGGCAACTTGGCCAAGTCACAGCTGACAAGTGGCCCAGCCAGGATTCAAAGCCGAAATCTGCCCACCTCCAAGGACAGTGGGTATCCTTATCTTCCTGCTTCCCACAAATTAACAACAAAAAAAAAAGGTCTGACAGAAGGCGCTGACCGAACAATTAATGTATATTTACCCAATGACTCCACGGTGTATTTTCAGATCATGACGAATCCCATCGTGCTCACTCCCTACCAGGCATTCCACTAGGATAGTGTTGTGTGGCTCACTCATTCATGGAGAACCTGCTGAAGGTGCACCTGAACGTCAGGCAGGAATTCCTGTCTTCAAGGAGCTTACATTCAGCCCAGGACCTCCCCTCTTTCAAGCCCATTCTGCAGCCCACCAAAGGCCCAGCACCAGTTTGGGGTGCACCTCTGCTCCTGTCTCTGGGTGTTCCCCAAAGCTCAGCCCATCCTGAGGGAGGGAGGGAGATGGGGGTCCAGGGTATGATGTCCACACTGTCTGCAACTGAGCTGCCTATTCCTTGCTCTGGTTCAAGTCTTTCTAGCCCCATGGTCGGCAAACTGCGGCTCTTTGGCCCCTTGAGGGTGGCTCTCCCACAAAATACCGCGGCCTGGGTGAGTTTATTTTGAAGTGGCGTTAGAAGAAGTTTAAGTTTAAAAAATGTGGCTCTCCGAAGAAATGTCAATCGTTGTCCTGTTGATATTAGGCTCTGTGGACTAATGAGTTTGCCTACCGGTAGTCTGGGCAGGCAACATGTACTATATAGTAAAGAAGAGACTGGGCCAAGAAACAGTTGTACTGACTTTATTCCCCTCACTCTTCTCACTTGCCCACCTCCTGCTCCCCACACACTCTGTGGCTGTGGGGTGGCCACAGATGACCAGACACCGGGGGTCCACAGGCCCGGGCACAGCCACTCTGCCAGCGCCGTGAGGGGCACTGTGGCAGCACATGCCAGACTCAGAGGCTCAGGCTCTGAGACCAGTCCCAGACCCCACAGCTGTGATCATGGGGCTGGACCTCCCCCTCTGGCCACTCACCCCCAGCTGGCCCAAGACCAGAGAGTCCTGGGGAAGCTGGGGGAGGGACAGGCCCGGGTTCCGGACCCCAGGTCTGGCCAGATGGGCTGAGCAGTCCAGGCGGACAGACCCTCACAGCCGGATCCCAGTGGAGGTGATGACTAAGCCCCTCCCCACCACCTACTGCCAGCCCTGGGCTTGGGTAGGACGCCCCAGTCCCCTCAGTCCAATAGCCAGGTGCTTGTTTTTCTAAATAAAAAGGAAATGGAGAAGCTGGTAAAACAAGAACCCCATCGACACTGGCACTGCGGAGGTTCCATTATTGCTTCAGGCCCCCGAGGTCTGGCTGGAAGGGCGCTCCCACCCAGGGGCCCGAGGGGAAGAGAGCGTTTAGCACCGGGACATGGGGCGCTGTCCCCATTGGGACGGGGCCTCCAAGGAGAGGACAGGGCCGCACCCCCCTATACAGCTCCAAGCCCATTCTGACCAGAGCCCGGTCTGCTGCCTGGACCCCTCTCCTGCCCTCGGAGGGACGGTATAAAAAGAACAGGAAACCCAAGTCTTAGGACAGGGGTTCACCACCGGGCCCCCCCTCCCCCCCTCCAACCTCTGGCCTCTGCTTGTCCAGGTCTGGCCTGACAGACCAGGGGCCCTGCCTGGCCGGGCCCCCAGGCTTGCTAAGGCTGCCGAGGGGCTGGCCGGTGGCAAGGCCACCACCCCTAGGGTAGGGTGGACCCTGGTGTCAGTGACAGGGGGTTTGGGGAACCCGTGGGGGTCCCTCAGGGGAGATCCACCTTTTTCTTTTTCTTTTTTTTTTTTTTGGAAAATGTGAGCCAGCTCTGAAGAGCCGCCAGGCACTGGGACCGGAGGTTAGAAATAGCAAGGGTGGGGGAGAGCAGAGGGGGGGTCCCTGAGGACATCTTGGAAGCCCAGAGATTAGAGGTACGAGAGAGGGAAAGCGCCACAGGAAAGCGGGGCCCTGGGAGGCCCAGCCTTGGGACAGGAGCCAGACAGGAAGCCTTCCAATCAGGGAGGGGCCCGAGTTCCATCCCGGGGGGGGTGGGGAGGGGGGGATGAGGGGGGGACGGACAGCAGGGGCCCCAGAGGGTGACTGTAGGCTCTGATTCGCACCGCTCCTGCTGCAGCCCCCAAGTCAACTGGGGCCGGGGCACCGTGTGCCCCACGCCCAGCAGCAGGCCATGCGGCTTGCATTACGGACCCTCAAATCACTCGGGCGTCTTGGGCCTGCCCACATCCGTACAGAATAAAGTGCTTCGTTTATTGATGATTAAAATGTGTCCAACCCCCTGCCCCGGCGCCGAGGGCCTCACAAGGAGGTCGGTGGGGGTTCTAACCCCCTCAGCCCCTTAGGCCGATGGGGCCCAGTCACGCCCCCGTCACCCGCCCTGGGCTCAGGCCTGTTCCCACTCCAGCCACGCTGGGAGGGCGGTGGTGTGGGGGGAGTCGTGGTGGGGGTTTAAGGTGCAAAGAGTATAACAAACAAAACCGTATAAACACAACGGGAAAGAGCTTAACTAGGAAACGTAGCTTATGGAAACTTCCTCCCCGTTCTAAGGGCAGGAATGGAGGTGTTAAATGACAACAACAACAAAAAGGGTGACCTATTAGTGCTGGCCTCGTGCAGGCAAGCATGGGGCACAGGCAGGGACTCCCCTAGGACCCTGCCCAGACGCGGGGCCTGACTGTGCAGGCTCCTCTCACTGACAATGCCGCAGGCACCCGGCCACCGACGCAGAGGCCCAGAGGGACATGGGTGCTGGACACTGGCCATGGGCAGGTTGTGGCTGCAGGGCCAGGCGAGGGCGAGGCCTGGCATTGCCTTCCGGGAGCATGACGGACAGACATACCCGCCTCCTCTTAGCGTGGGAGACAGGGCTGGGACAGCTGGTGAGGGGCGGGTGCTCTGCGACCAGCAGCTCTGCCCCCGGCCCCCCTGATAGCACCTTGAAACCTCGGAACGCTTGGCCAAGCCTCCCCCTAGGCCCTGCCCCCGGGGCCCACCCATGGGGACTGCAGCCCCTGGGAGCTGGTGCTGGGGGAGCCACCTGGAGGCCTGGCGTGGGCAGACGGGGGCAGCCTGGAGCGGGTCGGGGACCCCTGTGCTTGCTGGCAGGGCTGTGGGCAGGCAAAGCAAATGCCCGGGGTCCAGCCCCGCCCTGCCTGCCCCACTCCCCATGGTGCAGAGCTAGGTCTGAAGCCTTCATGCCTCACCAAGCCCCACCCTCCCAACACGCTCCTGGGCATTCGGTCTCAAGCCCCTGCCTCAGTGTCCACATTCCTCAGACTGAGTCCACAACCATTCCCCGGGGGGGGGGGGGGGGGGGGGGAAGGGGGCTGGCACCCCAAACCCTTTAGGACGAGGAAGCCAGTCGGGGGACACAGGGGAGGCAGGGATGCGCCCGAGGCTGGCCCAGGCTCCACCTGGACCGCCCCTGGGGCTCAGGCTCAGGAGAGTGACCGGTCACACCTGCGCTCCCGGCCGCCCCTCCCCCCGTCCCTGCTGCCTCCAACGCCCCCCTCACCTGGAGGGGGGGAGGGGGTACTGCAAAGAGTTTCCTCTCTTTTTTCCTTCACTTCCAAAGAAAGGGAAAGGCTTCAAAAGGAGTCACTGAAAGGGGGCGCTCGGGAGCGGGGTGTCCTCCACCAGCTCTGGGGGGCCAGCCGGCCTGCACCCTTGCCCATGCTGCTGTGCCGCTCCCACGGCCCCGGCTCCAGGTCCTGCGTGTGTGTGTGTGTGTGGGGGGGGGGGTCAGGGCTGGCTGCTGGCGCTCATCCTCCCGCCGCTGCTGGCCGCGGTGGGGAAGAGGGGAGGCGGGGCGGGCAGGTGGGGCGGCGGGGGCAGGGTCTGGGGCAGGGTCTGGGGCAGGCCGGGCAGCAGGGGCAGGGCGGGAGGCTGAGGCTGGGCGGGGGGCAGGCCGGGCGCCGAGGGGGGCCCGTCGGCGGCCAGCGGGAGGCTGACGCGGAAGCACTTCTCCTTGTGGGCCTTGAGCATGTTGGAGAAGCGGAAGCGCTGGCCGCACACGTCGCAGGGGTAGGGCTTCTCGCCCGTGTGGGTGCGCCGGTGCCGCTTCATGTTGGGCCGGCTGGTGAAGCTCTTGCCGCAGATCTCGCAGATGTAGGGTTTCTCCCCTGGGGGGCGGCAGCGAGCAGTGGGGTGTCATCGGCAGGGGCTGCACCCCAGCCCGGGGCCAGCCTCCCCGCGACCATGGATCCTCCCACCCTGAGCCGCTTGGTTGGGTGACCTGGGAGGCACGGAGAATGGCCCCCAGCCTCAGAGGGGTAACAAGCCCAAGAGTGAGAAGGGGCGGGGCCGTGTGGGCATCCTGGCAGGGCAGGGCTGAGAAGGGGTCCCCTGCCTGGCACAGAGCCCCCCGCCCCCTCCTCCCCCAACCCGGATAGCGGGGCGGCCGTACCCGTGTGGGTCTTCATGTGCTCGTCGAAGTACTGCTTCATGTTGAAGTCCTTGCCGCACCACTGGCACATGAACTGCTTGTGGCCGATGTGGATGCTCATGTGGGACCGCAGCTGGTACTTATACTGGAAGCGCTCGTTGCAGTTCTGAGGGGGTTTGGGGGTGAGGCCGGGGCAGAGCGGGGAGCAGCCTCCAGGGAGGGAGGCACTGGTCCTGCCTCCTGGGGCAGAGCAGTGTAGGGGCAGAGGTGAGAAGCCAGGGGGCCCGGGGCCCAGGTGGAAATAGAGGCCAGGAAGTGGGGAAAGGCTGCAGAGTGGAAGGGGGGCCTCACCCTTCTTGGTTGTCAGGGGCTCTCCCCACCCCCACCCCCCACCTGCAGTGCCGTCTCTGCCGGAGATGCTCCTCTGGCCACCACCTCTCCAGAAAGCCTGCCCCACGTTCCAGCCCAGGCAGACCCCCCGCCCTGGCTGCGTGAGGGTTGGGTTTGGGTTAGGGTTAGGGGTGCAGTGGCAGAGTGCAGTGGTGGGGGCCGGCCGGCAGGTGACCAGGTAAGGACGGAGTGGGAAGCCAGGGCCAAAGACGTCAAGAGGGAGGGCCCCTCTCTTACCCCACTTCCCCCAACCCCTGGCTTTTAGACAGCTGCTGGCCCCGGGGCAGGGGGAGCAGGGAGCTCACCTCACATCGGAAGGGCTTCTCCCCCGAGTGCTGCAGGGAGTGCACCTTGAGGGACATGCTCCGCTTGAAGGACTTCCCGCAGGTCTCGCAGGTGAAGGGCATGTCCTTGGTGTGAGCTGCGGGGCGTGCGCAGGGCTGTCAGAGCTCTGGGGGACCCCGCCGGCCCCGAGGCCTGCCTCACCCAGTCTCTGTCCCGGGGCCCCCTCCCCCGTGGGCTCCTCCTTCATCTGCTCTGAAGGCTGGTCCAACAAAGCATGGAAACCCTTGGGGTTCTTGAGCCTCTGAAACAGCGAAGGCCACCTCGCCCTCCAAACTTTCGGGGAAAGACGAAAGGATCCCCGTGGGACTGGCCTCAGCTCAAGTCCTGGCCCAGCCACAGGCTCCCTGCATGGCCTCTGTGGGGCGGTGTCTTCCTCTATAAAAGGAGGCTCCGGCCGAAACCGGTTTGGCTCAGTGGATAGAGCATCGGCCTGCGGACCGAAAGGTCCCAGGTTCAATTCCGGTCAAGGGCATGTACCTTGGTTGCAGGCACATCCCCAGTAGAGGGTGTGCAAGACGCAGCTGATGGATGATCCTATCTCATCAATGTTTCTATCTCTCTATTTCTCTCTCTTCCTCTCTAAAAAAATCAATAAAATACATATTAAAAAAAAAAAAAAAAAAAAAAAAGGAGGCTCGGAGTGGTGCTGTGCTCGCTGGGGTGGGTTTTGCAGGGGATGACACCTCTAAAAGTCAGCGGCTCTCCCCCCAGAATCTACGGACTGATGAAGGAGATCTTGGAGGAAGTAACCGGAGGCAGGGATGACCCCCCAGCGCTCAGGGCTGGTGAACCTGAGTCCAGGGAGGGCCGCCAACTCTGCTTCACCCCAGCATCTCCTGGCTGAGACCTACACCTCGGGCCCAGGTCCCAGGCCGTCCACACCAGAGCCCCCAGCACTGTCCGGTGGAGAAAGGGAGTACGGCCCACCTCGGCCACCATTCCCTGAGCCCCAGTCTATGAGCAGGCAAGGGAGGGAGGGCCAGCCACGCCCAAGGCAGAGGAGGGGTGGCCCAGCACACACACGGGAGCCTCCTCACTGTGTCCGGGCGTGGCCCCGGGGGAAAGGGCTGCATTCTGAAGAGCCCGCAGCCCTGTGAGGGCCTGAAGGAAAGAAGGCATCAGAGGCACAGCTGTCCTCAAAGGGAGACAGGGACCGTGCGGCTGGATTCTGGTCCTCACCCACCGTCCTGGTGCAGTGTGCAACCTGCCCACCCCTCACCTGGCACCGCAGCCAGCCGCCCCAGGCCTCCCCGCCAGGGGGGCCTTCTCGCCCCTTCACACTGCCCCTGCATGTGAAGCCCTTCCCAGCACCCCCCGCCCCTCCGCCCCCAGCTGGCCCGCTCTGTCCGCAGGCTCCTCCCCCGCGGCCCTGACTTACCCACCATGTGCTTGCGCACATGGGCCATGGTGTAGAACTTCTTCTCGCAGATCTCACACGAGAACTTCTTCTCCGCGTAGCCGTGCACAATCTTGTTGTGCTCGTGGAGGGACCACAGCTTCTTAAACGCTTTGCCGCACGTCACGCACTGTGGGGCGAGATGGCTTTAGGCCCTGAGCGCTGAGTCGGGGCTGTGTGACTTAGGACAAGTCGCTGCCCCTCTCTGGGCCTCTTTTTTTTTTTTTTGCCTGAATTGTGCTGGGGAGAGAGCCCTCGAGTCCAAGGACCAGGGAGATCGGATATCCTGGGACTTGGGGGTGGTATCTCCCTAAACTCTACCACCCACCACCCAGGGCAGCAGCCTGGTCCCCTCTTCATCCTTGACCTTAACTAGGGTCCGGAGTCACCTCTCCCGGGAGACCCCTCCTCGGCGCTCCTCCTCCTGCTGCTGTCGGAGGGGAGACACCCGGCTGGCGGGAGGGCCACAGAGGGGGCGGAGAAGCCCCTCTCAGACTGCGTACGGACAGAGTTGCCGCCTCCTCCCCCTGCCAGGACCCATGCCCTGATACCATGGAGATCACCAAGGAGCTAGGTCTCAAAGGGTTGCTGTGGGGAAGAGGCGGGAGGGGGCAGCACTACAGGAGGTACCAGCTCCCATGGGCAGGGCAGGGTGGTGGGAAAGTTGAGGTCATACTCCCCTCCTCCTCTCCCCCTGAACCCGTGTTCTGCTTATCCCTGCAGGACACCCCCAGAGGCCTGGAGGCAAGGCCAGGGCTCAAGGGGAAATTGGGTCAGGGTGGTCAGGCTGCCCGGTCGGAAGGAGCACAAGGATCTCTCCCCTTCCGAGGGACGCTCGGTGTGTGGCAAGGGGAGAGTCAAAGAGCAGCCCGGCGGGCAGGCAGGCGAGTGGGAACAGGCACGGGAGGTGGAGCAGGAGACCAGGTAACCCCCGGGAACGCTTTCTCCACAGGGCACTGCAATTAGCAATTAGTTCAGGCAATTAGCACCTGCCTACCTGCTGCCTCGCCTCACCACCTCTCAGCCACAAAGGCAAAAACCAGCCCGGCTGGCCCTGCGCTGCCCACATCTGAGAGGCCAGGCATGGACGGCATGGCATGGACGTGGGCCTGGCAGCCAGCCCAGCTCCCCACGTGGCCCCAGCAGCCTGTGCTCTTCCCAAATTTCTCATCCAGTCCCTCTGCCCCAGGCCCGGGCCAGCTGGCATCTCCAAAGAGCCGAACGCAGGGCCTCCTTCCTGCCCAGCTGCCCCTTCCTCTGCTCAGCCTTTGTGGCAAGCGGAAAGTGGCACCCCCCTCTGGGCAGGGGCCTCCTTCCTTCATCTATGCTTTGGTGCACTGCCAATCCGTGAGGCGCTACACACTGGCCCCCCTGGCCGCAGGCTAGCCCTAAGGATTTGCTAAAACACCCACTCATCCCTCCTCGCAGCCGGCTGTCCCCAGTCTCATGGGCTCAGGCAGCTCTCCTCTCATCCTACCAGCCACGCCCCCCGGGCCCTCTGGCCACGGGCACTGCTTGTTCTAGTCTTATCTGCACATCTTCCCAAGTGTCCAAGCCCAGGGCCCTCCGTCTCCTCCAGAACGCTCTCCTTGACGTTCTCGCCAGCCTGGGCCCCACCCTCTGGGCTCACCCCGGGCCTGGGCTGGGCGGCCTGCTGCCCAGGGGGCTACGTCTGGTCTCCCCAGACTGTCCGGCCAATGCAGGCGCCAGGACCCAGGATGTCCAGGGCCCCGTTCTGGCCTGGCCGCGCCTGGCTGGCTGGCTGTGGCCTCAGCTGGCCCTCGGCCCTGCCCCGCCCCGTCCGCCCAGGAAACGGCCGGGGCCCCACCTGGATGTTGCGCTCGCAGTCCGTCTGCCGGTGCAGCAGCAGCTCGCTCTCCAGCAGGAAGCGCTTGCCGCACTGGTCGCAGATCTGCATGCGGCTGTGGGTCACGTTCATGTGCTTCTCCAGGTACCAGCGGTTGTTGAACACGCGCGGGCACTTCTGGCACGGGTGGTGCTGCTTCTCCTCCAGCTTCACCTTGGCCCCCAGCCCGTCGGTGGCCTGGGGCCCTCGAGCCGGTGCGGGGCCCGCCCCGGGGGGCTGCTTGGGCCTCTTCCCGCCACACTGCCTGGCCTCCTCGGGCTCCTCAGGGGGGGCCCGGCGCTGGGCATTCTCCCGGGACCGCGTGGCCATGCGACTGTGGGGAAGGGGCTCTGCCCGGCTGGCCCTGCGCCCCGCTGGCCCCCGTCTGACTCCCACCTCCCCTTCTTCTTCTCCCTCCTCCTCCTCTTCCTCCTCCTCTTCCGAGCTCTCTTGATCCTGCTCACTATGTCCTTCCTCTTCCTCCTCCTCATCCTCCTCCTGTTCACTGTGCCCTTCATCTTCCTCCTCCTCCTCCTCCTCCCCCTGACTGCCACCTTCCTCCTCGTCCTCCTCCCTTCCACTACCACCACCCTCCTCTTCTTCCCCTTCCTCTTCCTCCTCTCCCTCACGGTCCTCCTCCTCCTCCTCCTCCTCCTCCTCCGAGTGTCTTTGCAGCCCGTCCTCCCGGCCCAGCACCATGGTGGCCGGGCCCGTGGCAGCACCCGGCTTCCCCTCGGGCGTCGTGGACACGTGCAGCGTCTGGTTGTTGAGGTTCACCTCCACGATGATCTGGGACTGCTCCTGGTGGCCGTAGGTGGCGGATCCCCCCAGCTCTTCCTCCAGCTCCTCGCCGCCCTCCAGCTTGCACAGGCTGGCCGGGGGCCCGCCCGCCGCCTCCCCGCCGCTCTCCTTCTCCTCCTTGAAGAAGGGCTGGGCCGGCCCCAGGGTGGCAGGCCCCGTGCCCCCCGCAGTCCCCGCCCCGTCCTCCACACGCACGGAGTAGGGGTCCGGGCCCTCTCGGGCGTAGATCTTGGGCAGGCCCGGGGTATCGGCCTCCTGCTTGATGTCGCAGTAGTAGGGTGGCGGGGCTGGGGTGCAGCTGGCAGCCGGCTGGGCCAGGGCCACGGCGCCGGGGCCCGGGGGGCCGAGGGAGCGGGCGTCCAGCAGCTCCTGGCAGGACGCGGCGATGTCGGCCATCTGCAGCAGCGAGGCGGCGCTGAGCACCTCGTGGACGTTGCCCGCGTTGACCAGCAGCTTGGACGTGTAGATGAAGTTGAGGATCTGCTGCAGGCCGCCGGGCGCCAGCGCCTCCAGGGACAGCTCCACGCGCTGCAGCTGCTTGTTCTGGGTGAAGAGCGAGTGGAAGAACTGGCTGTAGGCGGCCAGCACGCCCTTGTGCGCCGGGAAGACGCTGCACTGGGGCACCAGCACCAGGTCCACGTCGCAGAGGTCGGGCTGGAAGAGGCGCTGCTCGTTCAGACGGCCCATCAAGCAGGCGAAGTGCAGAGCCACGTCCTCCACCAGCGAGAACTCAGCCGCCGGTGAGTCGGTTGTCTTCTCAACCAGCAACTGCGGGGCCGAGGGTAGAGGTGAGGTCAAGGCCAGATGGGCCCCTGCCTCGCCCACGCCCACCCGCCAGGGGGCAGCCCACCCTTCACTCCTGCCTCCGCGCGTTACACAAAAGGAGCCAAAGCTCCAGCCAGGAGGAGGAGGAGGAGGAAGGGGGATTCAAGCTCCAGTCGAGTCCGCTGCCCTCGGAGCTCACAGTGTGACCATGAACTTTCTGAGGCCAAAGATCAGTGGACTTTCCTGGGCCTCCAGCTCTTCTGTGGTGAAACAGGAAGTCATGGGGAGAGAGAGAGAGGAAGAAGGGGACTGGGGGTCCGGGTGTGCCAGCGGCCAAGGGGTTTCCCAGGATGCGGGACTCTCGGTGCTAAAAGCAGGGCCCTGGGGGGGAGGGCACACTGGGACCGGGTGGTCACCCCGGCAGGGACACGGGCACTTCCTGAGATGCACCGACTCTCGCCCTCACACTCACTTGCACAAATAAAACCGAGCCCGCCCAACCACAGACACCTCGAGAACAGAAGTCAGGCTTACTCGCTCACTGCCCAGCCTCTGGCTACTGGACCCCTCACCTCAGCAACAGTGGCCGGCGTGGCTCAGTGGTGGAGCATCTACCTATGAACCAGGAGGTCACGGTTTGATCCCTGGTCAGGGCACAGGCCCGGGTTGCAGGCTCCATCCCCAGTGCAGGAGGCAGCCGATCCATGATCCTCTCTCATCACTGATGTTTCTATCTCTCTCTCTTCCTGATATCAATAAAAAATATATATTCTAAAAAACCCACACAACTTCTGCGAAGAAATCCATGCCCAGGGCCTGTGACTTCTCCCCAGCCGGTCCTGCTGCCCTGCTAGAGGCAGCTAGTCAGCCCCTCATCACAGGCTTAATCTGGCTCCATCACAGTGGCCTCCCCGAAAGGTGGGAGGCACAGACAGGCAGGCTGCCCGGTCCCTTGTTTGGGCCCGGCACACAGTAGATGCTCAATTAATATCTGCCGACTACCCGGCTGGACCAACCCCCAAGGTTCCAGGTTCTGACCCTCCTCGGATCCTGTCCAGCCAGGTCGGAGCATCCTATATTTGAGGGCCCTGGCCCATAGATATTGTACAAAGCCATCAGCGCCTCTCCCCCAAGGGTCCCATCCGTGCATAGCCCTCCTCTGCCCCCTCCATCCACACCCATCCTTCCACTGCTCCGGCAGCAGCAGTGGGCACGCACTGCGCAGGGAGGGATGTGGGGGTGTCTGTTCTCAACTTGTCAGTCCCCTGAATAAGAGTCTGCCCTGGGCTGCAGAATGGGCCTCACGTGGCCACCAGGGACAGCCTACCCGCAGACCCAGCCTGGGCCCCGCCCTCCGCACCCGGCAGCCCAGGGCAGCACTGCCCCCACACTCACTCACCTCCCACTCTGGCCCGGCCTCGGCCATGGATGGCATCTTCCTCAAGTTCTGCCTACCCAGGCCTCCTGCCCCCCAGCCAAGAAGCCACCCATTTGCCCCTCTGTCTCAGGGCTTCTGGCCTGGCCAATCTAACAGGGATATGGTGCCAAGCACCTCTCATTTCCCTCCCCTGCCTCAGTCTGTCTTATCTTCCGGAACCAGCTCCTGGTGCACAGATGGGGAAACTGAGGCCCAGAATGAGAGCGTCCTACGTGAGCCGTAGCAGAGCCCCTGACCTCTCAATTTTCTAAGGCCCCTTCCCTGCCGGGCTGGGCACTGCTCCTTATTGATCGAGTTCCTGACCTTTAATGACTTAAAAAGCAGGAAGAGGCACCCAGGGACCCTCTCACTCAGGGGACCAGCTGTGCTTCCTGACTCTCCCTGCACCCCACCTCCTCCCCAGAGCTGCTGCTACCACAGGTGAGGGGTCAGGGTGCAACTTGGGGGCTCCAGAAGCCAGGTAGCGGCAGAGAAAGTGGTTTGGGTAAGGCCTTGCCAAAGCCTGGCCTGTTGGGAGGAGCCCACCCAAGCCACGGGGCCCCCAACCACCCACTCCCCCTTCACCGAATGCCCTCAGTGCCTGCTTCCCATGGGGAAAGGGCATGCCCAACCTTCCTGTGTGCCAGTCTGGACCCAGGTCCCAGGCAAGGCCTGGCCAGGGCCCTGTGGCTTCCGCAGAGGAGGAGGGGTTAGCCTGGCGGGTAGTGCTGCCCCAAAGACTCTATTCACAAGGCAGTACCCCAGCTAAGCCAGCACCCCCTTGACTCCCAAGGGACCGACCGGGAGCCTCAGGACTGAGCGCTGTGACTGGACTTCTTTGAGAAGGCGCACAGATGCCGCCCGAGTCCCTAACTGGCAGCTCTTCAGCAGACACAGCTGCCCCCTAGCCTGGCTCCTTCCACCCATTCCTTCCACCCGCTCCTTCCACCCGGGCCCACCAGCTGTGCCCGCCTCCCCAGCCAGATGTGCCAGTTCCCTGAAGCTGCAGACGCCCCTCCCCATCTGGCTGTGCCAGCTGCAGCCACACACCCCGCCCCCAGGCCCAGGCCAGCCAGGCTAAGATGCAGGAGGAGGGAAGTGGTCAGGTACTCCTGTTGCCAAGGGTTTCATGCCCTCAAACTCCCGCCCCCAAGCCAGGCTGGGGGGAACCAGGTGCCAGGGAAACCTACCTGCCCAGGTGCCCACCGGGTCAGAGCTTCTACACTTTGCGGGACACCCTGCCTCGTGGCCGGGAAGCCGCTGGCTCCCTAACCTGCCCCAGCACCTCCCAGAATGAAACCTGGGCTCCATCTACACCCCCCTCCCACCCCCAGGACAATCCTCCCAGGGCAGGCAGCGGTGGGCGGGCCCAGTCTGAGCAAGGGGCACAGGCCCAGGACTCCAGGCTCCTCCTTTTGGGGAGGAGGGGTGTCTATTGCAGTCTCCTCGGAGCTTATGCCCCCCTCCCTCCCCGGGACACAGGCCCAGAGAGGGCGGGGGACCAGCCCAAGGTCACACAGTAGTTTGGACTGGAGCTGCGGGCGACCCCCTCCACTCCCTCCCTTCCCCCCCCACCCCCCCAACACACACACACCCCGCTAGGCCCAGGCACCCTGGATCCCTGGGCAGGGCGGTTCCAATGCCCACGTGTCCCAAGGCCCAGGCGGGAATCCGACCTCCCCCTTCCCCCCCATCACCCAGTCCGGGCGAGGGTGAGGGCGGCGCCGCCCGGCCCAGGGAAGCGCCCCCCTCCGCCCGGGCCCCCACCCCAGGAATGTAACCCCCTTCCCTCCGCGGGCCGCCCCGGAGCGCCGCGTTCCGGGCGGGGACCCCGGAAAGGGGGCGCTGGGGGATCTGGAGAGGTGTCCCCCCCAAACCCCGCCCCAACCCTACACCCCGGGCCGGCGGGCCGTGCGCTCCGGAGGGCGGAGGGGGCAGGTGGGCGGACAAGCGGGGGGACGGGCAGGGGGCCCCGCGTACCATGGTGCCGCGGCGCTGGGGGCTCACAGGGCCCCGCGGGATCGCGCTGCCCCCGGCGGCCGGGCCGGGGCCGCTCCATGAAGCGCCGCGCTGGGGGCCGCCCCCGCGCAGGGCCCCGCCACCATGGCCCCCGGGGGCGCGGCCGGCCGGGCGGGCGGAGGCGCAGGGCCGCGGCGAGTCCGGCCGCCGAGCAGCTGCGGCCCCGGAGCCTCGGGCGGGCGCGGCGGGCGGGCGGGGGGCGCGGGGCGCCGATTGGAGCCGGCGCGTCAGCTGGGGCCGCCGTCTGGACGCTTAAAGGGCCAGGCCGCCCTGCGTGCCGGCTCGGGGCGCGGACACGCGTGGCGTGCGCCCTCCCGGCGCGGCCGGCGCGGCCTCGGGCCTCCGGGGCCCGCAGCCAGGCCCCGCGCCCTGCATGCTGGCGGATGGGACCCCGGCCTCACGCTCCCCGCGCGGAGCCCCCTTTCCGCCCGCCGCCGCCGCCGCCGCCGGGAAGTCCGCCCCGGAGTCTAACCCCCGTGCCCTCCAGCTGCGCACAGAGGCGGAGTCGGAGGCGGAGGCGGCCCTGAGATGGAGAGGCTGGCGCGCCCGCCCCCCCAACCAGCTGCAGAAAAGCTGCCACCTGCTCCCCTGAGCGATCCCACGCCGAGGAACAGGACCCGCACCCCAGCCGCTCACCACCCCACCCTCTGGCCTGGGCTGCTCTGGTCTGAGGGTGAGTCTGGGATCTCCAACGAGCCGGGCCCCTCCCCCCTCCCCCAGAGCAGCCCAGGGCTCATTTTGTTCTCTGCTTTCAGGACCTGGTTCCGGTTGATCATACCTACCGACCTGGTGGTCGCTGCACAGCCTGTTGTGGAGATAACAACAATCCGGACCACAGCTGGAGTAGTGCCCAAATCCTTTCGGGTGCCTGTCCCAGGACCGGGAGGAGGGACCAGGGAGTGGTCCAGAGGCCCAGGCCCACAGTGCCCCCAGCCCTGCCACCTGACGGCTGGCTGCTCTGCAGCCTCCTCACTCGGTCTCTGCTGGGGAGAGGCAGCCAGGCCTGCGGAATGCCGCTCTGGCATGGACACCAGTGGGGGCAGGGGGCTGGCTGTGCTGGCAGGAAGCTACAGAGGAACGCTGCCAGGCCGAGCAGGCGGCAGAGTGAGGACCACGGGGCTCTGGGCTTGGCAGGGCCACCACTGTGGAGAGGGGGCCTCTGCGGGTCTCATGTGGCCACGTCATCATTCAGACGCACCACCCCCACCGCATCCCAAGTCCCACATTTGGTCACCTTCCCAGGGCCCCCTCCTGACAGTACCCCTCCATCCCCCTCCCCTCCCCACACAAGTGCACCTGTGCTTACACACCACCCGTGCCCAGCTGCAGCAGCATTCCCTGCGTATGTATGCCATCTTACTCATGGGCGGGCAGTGACTTGGTTCTGGATGCCAGGGGAACATGGAGCAGAGGCCAAGGTCCCAGGCAGACACCACCCTGTAGTCTGAGGTTCTGCCCTTCAAGATTGCATAGGCCTCCCCTAAGACCCAAATGGGTAGGTCCTTACGAGTAGGGCCTCTCAAAGTCAGGGGGAAAACACCTCAGGGGCAAAGATGGGGGTGACCAAAAAGTGCCAAGGGAAAGGGGAGAATTGCACCCAGCCGGATGGGGGATTGGGAGAGACGCCGGTGGGAAAAGAGATGGGGAGAGAGGAAGGGGCCTGGATGGGGACTCGCCTCCGGAGGCAGCCCCTGCAGACATGTTGCACTTCCGTCGCCCTGGTAGGTGCATAACAGCTGGCTTAGCTCCCAGAGGTCCTGGGCAAAGGCCAGGCCCCAGCAGCTTACGTGCCACACTGGCCTGCCACCATGGGGCCTACCTCTGCCTCTTCATCACAACCCACTTCTCGTCTGACTCCTGGGTCCTGGCACCATCCTGGGAGGTGGCAAGGAATCAGGTAGCCTTTGGTTAGATAAGGACAGTGAGGCACCGGCGCCAGGGAAAGGAGGCTGGGCAAGGTGCCCCTCCTCCTCCACCTCCCCATGGCTGGGAGGAGCCTGGTAGAGAGGACTTCAGGGACAGTCCTGGGCCCACTTCCCAGTCATGGCTTGGCAGGCCAGCGTGACCAAGGTAGGGCTGCTGGCCCCTTTGGGATTGGCCGGTGTTGCAGCAGTCAAGCCAAAGGCGGGGCTAGAGGTGGGGGAGGAGCCAGGAGCCACGAAAACCCTGGCGGCTCCCCTTGCTTCTTTGGCCTCCAGCCCACCTGGGGGAGCCCCAGGCAGAGCCCGGGCTCTGTGAGAGGCCCTTGGCACTTGGGTCACAAGAGAACTGGAAGGAAGAGGCTGTTTGAGGGGCTTAGCCTGGGCTCCAGGGGAGCTGCTCAGGGCCGAGGCCAGCATGCAGAGTGCACAGCAGCTGGAGCCCAGGGAGAGGAAGGCACTCCGGGCAGAGGGAGCGTCTGCAAGGGCCGGGAGACAGGAGGCGGTTTGATGCCACGAAGTCCAAATCCTTGCCTGGCGGGAGTGCCCGGCCAGATGGAGACAGGCGGTGCTGCCCTCTGCGCCTGGGCAGGGCCCCCGCCATGGGAGCTTCCTTCCAGGCTGGGTCCAGGCAGGCTTTCTGGAGAGGGTCGGAGGGGCTGGGTGAGTGGGGAGGGGATCCTGGGCCAGTGGGAAGCCAGGAGCTTGTGGGGGACGGGCAGATGCCTGAGGCTGGGGGCTGGTGAGGTCAGCAGCTGTGCCCCTGCTTCTGGAGCGGCTCACGGGTTTTTCACAACTTCCCTTAGCACGCAGCCCCGAGCTTCTCTCTCACGTTAGGGGGGAGGAGCAAACCCAAACAAGCGGCTCCCAGGCTTAGAGATGCCAGACTCGCCCCATCTAACGGAACCTGGAAAGACCAGGATGGGGGAGGGGGGCGCAGGCTCAGCCTCCCTGGGACCCTGGAGCTGTGGAGCTGCTGAAGCAGAGAGGGGGGAGGAGGGAGAGCAGAGTGTCTATTCGGGCTGGCCCTTCAGTTCCAGGCCCTCCAGGCTCTCCTGCAGCTACAATCTACCACCAGGCCAGATGCCCTACGCAAAGGTCTCACTGGTCTCAATGCCTCTCTCTGGCTGTACTGGCTTTCAGTTCGAAGATATAAAGGACCACCACGAGCAACTTCCATTCCGTGGCACAGTCCTTGAGGGCTTTGGCCCAGAGCCAGACTGCCTGGGTTCAAGTTCTGCCTCTCCCTAGAGATGGGTGACTAGATCAATTGCTTGGTTTTTATCATTCAGCCCCTCCCTCCGAAGAACTGACATAGGAAGGCCTCCTCCCTCCTAGAACTGGTGAGGACTCAATGCTTACAACCAAGCACACAGCCGAGTAGCTCAGGGAAGCTGGCCAGGCTTGCCTCCAGGAGGGTAGGGGGTCCACGGGCTCACGTGGAGGGCCAGGCCCAATCATTGATGAGAGGCCTGGGGTCCCATGGCCCACCAGGGCGGGAGAGGATCCTGGATGCAGCTAGGGAGGCCTGGAATGCCAGGGCCATGACGTCTGTGCTGCTAGAGGGAATGCAACCTGCTGGTTTGAATTAGGTCCCCACCCTCCAGCAGATGTATCCTATTAATGCCAAACTCAGTGGAGGCAGAACATTAAGCCACACCCTCCAATCCCACACCGCGATCTATGTATGCATCCCCACCCTGCAGGGCCCTGGGTCAGCTGGCATGTCCCTGCCCACCCCACCACCCCACTGGAAGCTTTTGGATTTGATTGACAGGGAGGAGACAGGGACAAGGGAGCTTGCCTCTTTCTACTGAGACCTTTGAAAACAGACCATCCCAGCCTCCTGCCCCTTTGGGCAGCTCTGCTTGCCTCCTCTGTCCTGGGGCAAGCAGGTCCCCTCTCTCAGGGCACCGGCTCCTGTGCTGCCGCCCCTACAGCGAAAAAGAACTTCCTGCCAAGCAGGAGTCCTCCAGGCACCCTCCCCAGCTCCTCCCATCACAAGTTCCTCAGGGCACTTCAGGCTCTGCCTCCACGATGGGCAGCAGCAGGGTAGATGCCCGCTCCCAGGCCCTCACCTGGCGCAGAGGCGAACGTGCAGGCTCCTAGCTCCACACCGACTGGAGCCTCCCTTCCCATCCACAGTGACCATGTCTGGCCATTGTTCACGGTCGCCTGAGAGGGGCATTTCCTTGGATTCTCTTCCCTCCTATTCAAAGCCCAGCTGGTTCAGAACAGTCAAGACCGAAGCCCTGGGCGTTTCCCCCAAGACTGCCCCGCTGGTGAAGATGGTCTCTGTCAGAAGGGGGATGCAGATCCCAGGCTCCGTAGCAAATGAGACCCCAAAGGCTTCTCCCTGGGGGATTTCCCACAGCGGCTTGCACACTTCCTTTACAATTTAAAGCAACACATCCAGGCTGAACTATTGTCAGCAACTGCCTTACGTGGGGGGTCCTACTTTTACTAAATTTTGAAAACGGGATCTCTACAAGTCTTACTGTGAGGTTATGCTGTAGTCACTAAGCAAATACGAATTCTGGAGCGCTGAGGAGGCAAAAGTTAATTGTAGTTGCCCACGAACCCCCCTGTGGCTGCTATAAATACCCCATGTTTTCCCCAGGAGTGAGCGCCATGTGCCTGCTGGTGAGCCACAGGAGGAGGGAGGTGTGGAGATCGGATAGGTGGGTTAGCAGCGAATGTGCTGTCCCCAGGCAGCGCTGTGCAGATGGATGGGGCACATTCTTTCCTCAGCAGACATCTGTGCGCAGGTCACAGTTGGGTGACAGCAGCACAGCCTGGAGCAGCTCTGGAGTCGGCAGGGAAGGGGTTGCCTCTGCCTGAAGCTCTCTAGCTGTGCCTCCTGCCCCATCACTGACGCTCAGCTGTAAGATGAAGGCGCCTGCGAGCTGGGTCAGCAGAGACGGGAGCCCTCCTGTTCTACTTCAGAGAGACGAGCTGAAGTGTGGGGAGTAAAGAAAGATGAAACAGACTCCGCCTTAGACTAAGTAACATTTTAATTTCTACAAGGTCCCCCTTTCAAGTCTTGGGGAATTTGAATGAAGTGTATACAAATTTCACATTGCCGATATGTACAAAAGTACTTTCTAGTTTTTAAACAATACCAGCCATATCATGTTTCATTTGCAGTAAACAGGACATTACAAAAACAGTCCAACAATGCATTTTCTATTAAGCACAATACACAACATAATTCACTTTTATTAAAAAAATAACTTAAAATACAGAATAATCCCCTTAGGAAGAAAAACTGTCTCTGTAGTTCATTCAGTAAACACACAAGTTGAAGGCTGCAGCCAAGGGCTGTTCTTTTCAGTGGAGAAAACAACTGCAGCTTCCAGGATAAAACTGCCCCCGCAGCCCCAGCGGGTGAAGTGACTGCCGGTGGTAGGCAGAATTCTACAGTGCCCTCCCCTCATATCCATGCCCCAACCCAGGACCCTGTGAACAGGGGCCGCTCCTGTGAGAATATGTTCTATGACCTTAAAACAGGGAGACCAGCTCAGTGGGCTGGATCTAGTCACATGAACCTTAAAACAGGAGGAAGGCGGACAGAAGCAGGAGGGCTCGATGGCCATCTCTGGTTTGAACATGGAGAGGAGCACACCAGCCTTAAGGAGCTGAGTGAGACCCGACAGAAACGGAAACTGCTAACCCCCTGAACGAACACGGAAGCAGCCTCCCTAGAGCCCCCGAAGGGAGTGCTGCCCTGCTGGCCCTTGGTTTCAGCCTGTGACACCCTGAGCAGAGAATCCAGCCATACCAAGCCAGATCTAAGAAACAGGTATTGTTTTAAGCTGCTGACTTTGGGGTAATTATTTACAAAGCAATAGAAAACCAACACACTGCCCAAGGGTAACTTTCCTTAACATAATTAGATTTGGCAGTTTTTGTTTGGGTTCTGAATGCAGTTATTGTCCCCACTGAGTATTATTAAAGCAATGGTCTCCATTGTAGGCAACTTTTGAAAACCCCTCATAGGAATCACACAATGTTTTGTATTCACACTTGCAAGAACATTTGTTTGACTTAGGTCCTGTTTTCTAATGTACTCTTATCTATCAACTTGGCAAACAAGACCTCGGAACCCTGTTAATGAGCCTTTTATGGGTAATGGTTTGAATACATCCAAGATCATCTTTCCACCCAGCAAGGGTTGTCCAATCCTTCCAACTGAGGGTTCTTCCCCACATCCCAAGTACACCAGGCAAGGCCCGGGGGAGGATGGCACAGAGTTCTACATCAGACATCCCATATGCATTTCTTCTGCATACCTGGACTAAACTGGCACTGAGGTGATTAAGTACACTTGTGGAAAAAACTCCAACTAGATTTAAAAAAAAAAAAAATCACACCGATTTTTACAGGTCAAGTCATTTTTGGAGGAACCACCCCGTACTGTGAATGTGTGATTTATGCAATCCCATTCATCTCTCTCCCTGACTGTTGTCCTGGTTTTCCTCGTATCACCAAGGCTTCACTGAGTCAGTGTGGCCACAGCGGAAACAGGAAAACCACTTAGAACCATCCAACTACTGCTTTGTCTCTTCTTGAAAGACCCAGAAGGCCCGCACAATGTGCGGGATGGAGGCAGGTAGATGTTGGTATTACTTTTGAAGTCCATTCTTCAATCCACCCTTCCACAGGCACCATGCCAGCCAAGGAGACTGACTGGCCACACAACCCCTTTTGCCAATCCTGTCTGGTCCAAGGAGACTGACTGGCCACACAACCCCTTTTGCCAATCCTGTCTGGTCCAGGAGGCCTAGCACACATCATGGCCTGAGACAACCCCTCCAAATATTCAGTGAATACGGCTGAGAAGAACCATGTTTGGTGCCAGTGAGTAAAAACAATTGTTAACATATGGTATCGAAGAGCAATGCTTAGAGGCACCAAAAGGTACCAAGCACCAAAGGGTGAAGTGGAGTAGAATGACTTTACAGTCCAAACTTCTGGTCATACTTATTAGAAAGCACATGAACCATTAGGTGCTCTGGCCAGTGAGTGCAGGTACTATAGTTAAGGCTGATTCATTCTTAGCCACGCCTGCCAACATGAAGTCATACAGACAGTGGGCTGTGTAATGACCACTTTCCTGATCCTCTGAGACAACACAGAAGGAATGAATTAAGAGCCCCAAATCCACTATCTCATGTTCCTGGCTACCATCAGTATCGATCTAGGTGGTTTGATTTTAAGAGCACGTATGTGTTAAGACTCTGTAACTGATATATAAACATTTGGCCACCTTTAATAGCTCCCCACAGGTCTGTGCTTGGCAGCAAATACTGAACCTGAAAAATGGGCAAAAACCCCTGCCTTCTAAGGAACACGAGATGGAGAGGAAATGTCTCTCTAAAATAATACTGCAACTTATACTAAAATGTCATGGTTTCTTGATTCAAGAAAATGAAATTCACTTCCATAGTTGGCTACTGCAAAATGTGGCATAAAAATATTTTTAGGAGACATATCTGTATTTTAAATTTTGAACACAAGTAAATGAACAAGTAACAATTAAGAAGTGCCTATTTTTGAAGTTCAGCTCTAATATTGAAATAGAACAACAGACTGCCATTAAGTTTCTTAAACTTTTAAGTTACCAGTTATTTACAAATAAGATATAATTCGTATCAAAAAAGGGGACATTTTCAACTGTATCTGCTGCTTTCACTGGGACTCCGGCGATGAGAGTAACTTCGGTCACTTTCACTGTCAGAGCCGTAAGACCTACAGCTCCTGTGGAACAAAACAAACACACAGACACCTTTAAGTCGTCAACGCTCTCAATTCCTCTTGTAGATTCTTTTTTGTTTTGTTAATCCTCACCTGAGGATTTTTCCCATTGACTTTTAGAAGAGAGTGGAAGGGAGGGGAGAGACAGAAACATCATGTGAGAGACACACATTGATTGGTTGCCTCCTGCACGTTCCCTGACTAGGATCAAGCCTGCAATCGAGGGATGTGCCCTTGACTGAAGTTGAAACCTTGACCCTTCAGTCCATGGGCCAATGCTCTAACTTCTGAGCAAAACTGGCTACTAGGGATGTAGCTTCTTATTTACAAGAGTGGCTTGAAAGCAACACTGATGTTCATACCGCAGTGGGTGGACCAGTGGGGTGCTGAATGTGGTGACACTGGTCTTTTCAGAAATGTTTTAAATGAGATAGTAGTAATTTCAAGGTTAAGATAAAATAAATAAAAATTACGTCTTGTACAAATTCCTTGAAATCTACTCACACAAATGAGCAGAGTAATTTTCCATGCTACCCAACCAACCACCAATATTTCATCAGACTGAGGAAGCGAGGGGTATGGAAATCAAATTGTGCCCAGTGAAGGGTGTGGGGCATGGACAGGAGCATTACGATCGTGAGTCAAGAGGACATGGTCACCATCCAGTTAGTTTGAAAGATATTCACCGAGAGCCAGTCACTTTGTTAGATACAGTTAGTAGCTGCCTGTGGGTTGCTGGAATTCAAGAAGAGGAAAAGGGTTTCTGTCCTGAAAAGATTATGCTTTCTCTCCTAAGTCTATCGCCTCCCACACCAAGCGCCCATGGGAACGTGCCGGGTCCTGGGGAGGGACCCACCTGGACCGCCTTTTGTAGCTTCTGCCTCGGTGGTAACTGTCGCTCCTCTGGCTGCGGCTGCGGCTGCGGCTCCTGCTGTAGTAGCTGTCGTAAGTGTAGGACCTGCTTTAACAGCAACAGCAAGCACTAAGGTTTCCTGTTCAAACACTCCTATTCCCACTTATTTTTAGGAGCTTCAGGCTGTTTTCTTAGAACATGGGCACTATTTGATGGTGTGAGGCACATGTGCATAACAAGTACTGAAAACATTTAACACCTTCCCCAAATCAGACTTACCATATTTAACAGAAAAATGTTAATTCTTTTCTGTATTGAAAAATATCACAAAATTAACATTGAGTTAGTTGCATTGAATCTGGTGGGTATTAGGCAATTATATTCAATAAACACCTGCCATTACAATTTGACATCAATTGTCCCTTTTGACACTAGAGTACAATGGGCCAACAGAAAAAAAAAAAACTATCAAAAAGACTTCATTTAGAAAGGGCATGATTTCATGGACAAATATGTGTTAAGTTTCTCAATAAAATGCAACACATTTTAAAGGGAATTAAGGGTTTTATAAAACAAGGCCTCTCAACTCTGCCCCGCAGGTGGCTGCCCAGTCCCTGTGCATACCTGGACCGGCTGTGGGGATCGTATGAGCTGCTCCTGGACCTGCTCCTGCTGGACGTCCTAGTAGCAATCACAGGAGGGATTGTCATCTCAGGGATAAGGACAGGCTACAGCAAAACTCTAGACACTTATTTGCCCATCAGAAAGAAAACACAATGACATCCAGCAGCTATACTGATTCTGTCTTTACCGCAAAAGCATGTTGGATGTTTTATTTATTTTATTTTTTTATAAATATATTTTATTGATTTTTTACAGAGAGGAAGGGAGAGAGATAGAGAGCTAGAAACGTCGATGAGAGAGAAACATCGACCAGTTGCCTCTTGCACTCCCCCTACTGGGGATGTGCCCGCAACCAATGTACATGCTCTTGACAGGAATCGAACCTGGGACCTTTCAGTCCGTAGACCGACGCTCTACCACTGAGTCAAACCGGCTTCGGCTATGTTGGATGTTTTAAAAAGCATGTTGGATTTCATAAGAAAGATTAAGTTTCTGCTCTTTGGCACCTAAAGAAAGTCACTGTGTGGCCTGGGGTGGTCACCCAATACAGCACACAGATGATGTTCTGTAGAAATGTCTACTTGAAACTTGTATCGATATAATTTCATTAACCACTGTCACCCCATTAAATTCAATAAAAAAAAAGAGAAAAAGTCAGAGGGGAGGCTCTCACTGGGTGGGGGAGGAAGGTCTGCCCAGGGAGGACACTTATACGTAAACTGAAGCTGCAGCCGTGGAAAATTCCCGAGAGGCCTACTTTTTCCTCTTGGTTCCCCCTTTAAAACTCCTCCTATTTCAATCTCTCTCCCATGTCAGAGGTGACTGCAGAGGTGGTTAAGGAAGATGTACTGTGAGTTGGGAGGAGGAGGAGGAGAAAGTGGACACAGGGCCTCATTAAAATATTTTTACTGCTTCTCTTTCCTCATTCTGGGAAGATCCCTTCCTGAGAACAGCCAGAAGGAATCTGACTGCCCTTTGAAAGGAAGAACTAGATGAGGAATAAGCTGGACTGGCCTTCAGCAATGACAGGCCTTGAGAAGCAGACGGGATGGAGACCACACAGGAGGGCGGGTTCCCAGCTCACCTATGACTTTTGTAACTGCGGGAGGAACTGCTCCGACTTCTTGTGCGGCCTCTGCTGTACCACCCTCTGCTCCGACTTCTGGAGTAGCTTCTAGATCTACAACGAAGAGTGGAAAGCTGTAATCAGAGCAACTCCCCATGCTGTTAAACTTAATTACTTAGAGCACATGTGTCAAACACAAGGCCCGCGGGCCAAATCCGTCCCGCCAGGCCTTGCAATGTGGCCCGCACCGCGCTGTCATCACTGCACTCCGCTGCGTTTCCATCACAATGACAGTTTATGACTGTTCAGTAAACCATTCGGCCCGCGATTTAGGCTGGATTTTAGATTTTGGCCCCTTCTCTGATTGAGTTCGACACCCCTAACTTAGAGGGCAGGAAGGGGAAAACACAGTAAGAGGAAAGGTCATTGGAAAGATCTCTCAGGCACTCCTCACAGTGGGTATGGCAGTAAAAGCTAATAAGGGTTTAAAGTGCACAGAATAAAATAAAGAAAAACCAGGAAAGGCTGGTATAGGTATGCCTACAGGAGGCCTATTATTAATACCAGAAGAGGAAACAATCCAATCTCCATTAATGGTAGAATGGGTTAAAAAAAAATCAATGCACAGATTTTTAATGAAATTCTAAAGCAGGAAAATGAATTAACTACAGCCTTCTGTATTAACTGAACTATCTCTCTGGAACATAATGTTGAGTAGAACATTTATATATGTATAATAATAAAAGCGTAATATGCTAATTAGACCAGACAGCTGAACAACCTTCCAGATAAAGCTGGGGCTGCAATGGCTAAACCCCTTGCACGAATTTTGTGCATTGAGCCTCTACTATATATATTACAAGGGTATTACATTACGTAAGTAGCCTACACTAGGACTATTGTCCTGATCCTAAGTAACATGTATGAACTGGGGAGAAGGGCAGGGGTCCAGGTGAATATATTTGTATTTTATATATAAAGTATGTATATATAAAATACAAATATATATAAAACACACATACACACACACACACATATGTGTGTGTGTGTATATATATAAAGACTGAAAACATGCAAAAGTAATACCATATAAGATAGAAACATTTACAGTAAAACTATAAGGAAAGTTTAGAATAATGTTTAACTCTAGGAGAAAGTAGGGTAGCATGGGTAAGGCTACATCAAGGATGTCATGTCAAAGCTCTGTATTTTAAGTTAGATGACATTTCTTTATTACTTCTTATACCTTAATCATTTATTTTATTTGTATATCTATTTTATGTTTAATAAAACAAACAGAAACTCAAGCAATGCAATCCTACCCCTCTGCATTCACCTGGACCCCTGCCCTTCTCCCCAGTTCATACGTGTTACTTAGGATCAGGACAATAGCCCTAGTGTAAGCTACTTATGTAATGTAATACCTCACAGGTTTTATGCACTTTTGAGCACATTATGTCCTAATAAGATTCTAGACATTTACCCAGCAAACACTTATAAAGTAGTCTCTGTGAGGGACTGGAATATGAGGAGGGAGCAGTCTCTGGATTAGCAGACATTTAGTCCATCAAAAATGTCCACTTGGCCGACACCAAACGGTCCCTGATATTTGTTCCTGTCAAAAATGTCCATGTTTAAAACACATCCCCGGGTTCAAAGAGCTCATGTTTATTTCTATGTATATTTTTAATCCTCACTCAAGGATATGTTTACTGGTTTTAGAGAGAGGAAGGAAAAGGGAAGGGGAGAGGGAGGGAGGGAGGAAAGGAGTGACAGAAACATAGATGTGAGAAACACCACCTTTTGGTGTACAGGACAATGCTCCAACTAACTGAGCTACACAGCCTGGGCTATTTATATTTTTTATTTAATACATAAGAAATACTATCATGTTTTAGTGGTCCAATAACTGTGGTGTGACTGTACTGCCAAAACCCATCTCCCGCCCCTGCCTTGATCGCCTAGCTGGCAATGGCACACAGGATTAGGCAGATCAGAAGATCTAGACCAAATGTGTCCATGGATGCTTTAGACAGGACCAAGATGTTCTGCAAGGCATTCCCTGACTTTAATGAGTTCACAGCCTAGTAGGGGCGTCAGGCCTAGGTGGGTAACCAAAACAGGGAGGCAGAGTTCAGCTATCGCAGCGTAGAGCAGATTCCTTAGCTTCTCTATGCCTCTGTCTTCATTTATAAAATAAAATACCACACACGCCAAAGGCAGTGGTAGGAAGGTACTAAATGGGAGTGGCCAGCACCACCAATAGCTCAGAGCTATCAGAGGCAGACCTAAGCCATTAATCGGACATCCCCCAAGAGCTCCCAGGCTGCCAGAGGGATGGATGTCTGACTGCCAGCTTAGGCCCGATCCGGCCTAAGCCAGCAAGTGGACATCCCCAGAGGGGTTCTAGAATGAGAGAGGGCTGAGGAACCCGCCCTCCCCTGAATGCACGAATTTTCATGCACCAGGCCTCTAGCACAAAATAATACTGAATGTCAATTGTACTTAAAAATATGTAAGTACAATTAGATGCTCATCTTGAGCAGACAACTTTGTCTCTCTGGTCCTCATCTCCCATGTGTGTGAAATGGAGGGTTAGACTGATAATCTTAATCCTTTCTATACTGTAAATTCAGGATTCATCACTGACTGGTGAGAGAGCAGCTTCACACCTTTAAAGATGAGCAACTTGCCACCTACCATAGCAACTGATTTCTATTGTCAGGGAGCTTAATAGAAGGTGGGAGCCTTTTACAATGAGCCCAATTTCTTCCCCGAAATCTACTCCGTGTCCTCAATCTGCTGAGTCACACAGCACAAGACTTCTCCTTATTCACTTTCCAGATATTTGGAAATAGTGATCTTGTCCCTAATTCTGATGTTCTTCCAAGCTAAACAATAACAGACTCTCTTTGGGAGACAAAAAAAAAAAAAAAAAAAAAAAAAGGGAAGAGAACATTGCTCACCGATAAGAGGATGTGGAACTTCGAGATCGACTTCGTGAGTGGCTGTAGGAGACGGACCTGGTTCTATGTCTAGATTTGGTTTCAGATTTGCTCCGAGATCGACTTGGACTCCTGGATTGGCTGTCACCATCCCGGCTAGGTGTCTGCTCATCACTTGAACTCTCCTGATTTCGTGGCCTCCGGTTTAAGCGTGCCGTCTTTCTCACTTCATCAAAGAGGGATCCAGGCCGAACTTTATTTTTGCTTTTAATTTCTATTCTCAGGCCTTGTGGCTTCACTTCAGGCACAGCCGTCAATGCCTTCACTTCCACAGCACTGGATGTAGCCGGCGGCGCTGCCAGGTTTCCCACCCCTTGCAGGGGCTTCCATTTATTGTCCAGGAGGCTGGCCTGACCCCTTTCGGCCGCCTCCCTCTTCACCGTGCTTTCCACGGCACCGGCTGCGCCCGCAGCAGAGCTGCTGTCGGGTTTCCCCACCTCCCGCGCCGTGGGGCTTTCAGACACGCTGCTTTCCTGTTTCCCCACCTCTGCCGCAGGATGCTCTGCCGGCTTTTCAGCTATGTCCGGGTCTGGGGTGGCAAGCCTCGAATTTCCGAGAGGGGATGCTGCCTCCGCCTTTGCTGGGGAACTCCTATCAGGAGTACAAATCTCCATGTTGTCATCTGCATGAAACATGTCTTCCACTCCGCCTGGGTCGCTGTCCTCAATGTGCTGAGTGTCTGGGGGAGAACTAGCAACATTTTCCTCAGCAGCTAAAGGTGGGGGAGAAATGCTGAGTTTACTCTCGTCGGCGGCCGGCTGCTCAGTATCTGATGAAATCGTGATTGCATTCTGTGTATCTGGAAGGCTGCTGTCTTCACAGGGCTTCTCTGTTTGGGGGCTATTTTCTTTTGTAGTTTCACTGTTTTCAGAAGCTTGTTTTTTCTCCTGTGACTCCCGAGTCACTTGCTTTTCATTACTCTCCTCTTCCTCCTCTTCACCAAATTCCAGTGGAGGCTGCCAGTGAAATGCCTGTTTTCGTTTGGGGGCCTTATGCTTTTTGTCTTTTTTCCCTTTCAGTTTCTCTTTCCCTTTTTTGGAGTGTTCCCTTTTCAGAGCTTCCTTTGACCCGTGTTTGTGCTTCCTTGGCTTCCCTCTAGGGTTTTCTGAGTTGCAAAAGGAGCCCTCAGAATCAGAGGTTGATGACTGCTGTTTGCTTGACTTCCAAGCACCATCACCATCGGGCAGGGAAGAACTTGAAGACTTGGTTGTGGGTTTGGCTTTGATGTGAATTTCACCAGACTCTGATTCAGAATCCGATGTGGCCTCACCTTCCTCCTTATCAGAAGATGGCAGGGAATTCTTTTTACTGTTCTTAGTGACATCTCGTTCGGAATTCGATTCAGAGTCCCATTTACTCCCAGCATAATTCTTCCTCTTGGGCTTACTGGCATTTCTAACGTGATCAGAAAGATTCTCTTTCAAAGTTCTTTTTTTGGAACGCGGGCATTCCCGTTCAGGCTTGGATTTCTCTTCATCTCTGTTTTTCTCTCGTCTGTTATTCGTTTCCATTTGGACTTGCTTCTCTTTCTCCTGGGCTGACTGTGTCACCTGAACATCTGAGTGTTCGCTGTCTGAAGAATCATCTGACGACGACCTGCTTTCGCTGTACTTTCTCAGGCACGAAGACTTGTCTCTGCCTTTGGTATATTTATTGCTAGGTGCCTTTTCAGAGCTGCTGCTCTGCTTTTTATTGGAAGTGCTGTTTTTCCCACTGGATCTAAGTTTTCTCTTTGCTCGTCTCCCGGCATCACTGCTAACAGAAGAGTATGAAGATGATCTGCTACACTGTGAGCGATCGCTGTATTTATCTCGTGAATGAGATCTAGATGAGGGAGACCTAGACCTCGAACGTGAACTAGCGACACTTCTCGACCTTGAGTATGATCTGGAATAAGACCTACTCCTAGAGGATCTGCTCCTTGACCTTGGGGAACTTTCTGAACTTCTATCACTGTATTTTGAATAGGCACTCTGATCACTTTCGGAATTTTTTTCTCTTTTATTGTAAGATGATGAACTACCAGTCTCCTTAGTATTTGTTAAACTGTAAGTGCTTTGGATAGATAGCAAATGGGTTGTTTTTGCTTTCATTTCCTGAATTCGCTCATAAGAGGGCTTCCAGGGCTTCTGTCCAGGCTTCCACCTGGAAGGAGGGGGACTGTCACTCAGTGGGATTACAGGAATATGTTCTGCCACCACTGGCTGTGGTACTAGTAAGGTTTCATTTTGTGGCACTGTTGCTCTTAAAGGTTCTGTTTTCACTGGTTTATTTTCACTTAGCTGACAGGCTGTTCTTTTGGGGGATTTTGATGCTGTCCGTTGGTGCCCTGACTTGGAACTAGATCTGGACTTCGATCTACTTCGAGAATGTGAGGAGGATTTCGATGGAGTCCTTGATCTGGAGCTTCCTCTAGAGTAGGACTGGGAGTGAGATTTGGATCTGTATGAGTCTCTGCTGGAATGGGTGGAGGAGCTCTGTTCAGCCTTATCAGATTTAGACCAGTCCCTCTTGGATGAGTGATGAGATGATAGTGAGGAAGAACGAGATCGCCTTTCTCTATCACAAGAGAACTTCATTCGCCGGGTAGAAGATTTCAAGGATTCTATGTCAGATGGTACAATAATTCTTCTCTTCTTAGTCTGCTTGTGTCTTCTGCAATGTTTTTGCTTTTTAGCTTTCTTTTTGTGTTTAACTTTTTTGTCTTTTCTGCGTTTTTTATGGTGACCATCAGAGTGTCTTGCTGTACTAAGATCTGAATAATATCCATTGTAAGACCATGATCTCGATCTTTGGGACAAGCTTCTTTCATCCCATCGGCTTGAACGGGGGTCACTTAACCTATAGAAAAACAGCATAATATGCATACATTACTTCAAGCATGTTTTCCATATTAAAAAAATTTTTTTTTTAATGTATTGATTTTAGGACCAGGGATAGAGGGAGACAAAAGGGGGAGGAGATAGAAAAATATCCAACCAACTGAGTTACCCATTCAGGGCTTCTATGAGTTAAAATTAAAAGGCATTTGTTGTCCATACAAATGCACTGACAAAAACCTGGTTAATGACAAAGTATTGGCTAGATCAACACTTTAAGCGCCTGCAGGAAGGGTAAATTAAGAGTAACTGGCCTGACCTTACAACTGCAGACACAGGGGCAACTGCTAACAGAGCCATTTACAGAAGAATTTTTTCCATAGCTAAGCAAAGAACTTCAAATTTGATAGGAAAATGCAAAATGGTTTTGAAAACCAAACCAGCTAATCACAAGAGCACTGCTGACTACCATGCTCCTGACTGTGAGTAGCTGCCTCCAGGAACAATGTCAAACTCAGTTCCCAAACAATCCTGTGGAGTCCCTGCATACAGGACAGCTACCTGAACTAGAAGAGAAACCTCTTTTGCTTAAAAAGCTGGCAAGACTACCATTTTAGCCCAGCCTCACAGAGGTAATCAAGACCTTCCTCTGAGGTTTAAAGTACTTATTAAGGAAAATGAGGAAAAGTACGTGAAAATAGACGTAGGTTGTAAGTCTCACTGGTAATGTCAGGCTCAAAATCGAGAGTTCACAGTACTGCTGTGTCTAAATCACTGCCACACAGCAGATGCACACTTTTTTCTTCCTCTTCCAATTTCAAACACGCTACAGAACGCCCACACCGAAAAAGAGAATTTTATCATGAACAATTAGAGAGGGTCCCATTGTTATTTTTCATTTTTTTAAGTATATTTCCACTGGCTAATCTGACGCCAGCCCCATTTCTAAAATATGCATTCCACTGTGGGGTGTCTCTGTGAAGACTGCCCCTGGGGTTGGAAGTTAATGCACACACTGGGTACAGATTTTCCTATCTACCAATTCACACGTCAGTGACTAAGAGACTGGCTCTGAAAGTACCTGCTATGTAATTTTAAGTCCTGATTATTTCTAAAATTGAACAAGAAACCTTTGAGAGACTCAATAGGTTTACAGTCTAGTGGGGGAAAATTTTGAATTAAAAGCACCCCAAGGCCATCAGCCCTCCTGATTAATAGCACTATTTTTGTCAAGTATTCCCAAATGTATTCTCTGGTCAGTGTCTAATTTTACATTTAAATCTTTAAGGGAAAATCTAAAAGTAAGTCTCTATTTACTTAATACTTAACATATAGCAGACATGGGATTGTACGAGTACTCAAAGCTCTTACTTATCTCCTTTACTCCACTTTTCCCCACTAGGAGGTCTGTACGCTCTCAGTCTCTGCATCTCCTCTTTCCAGTGAGGAGGAGTCTCACTGCTGTCATCGTCATCCGATTCAGAGCAGGACCTTGACCTTGGAGGTGTGTGATAGCGCTTTAAAAACAAAGACAGGAGTAACTATTTTAAAAATGCTCCTCAATTAGTCTGCTATAGGACAGAGTTAGGTGAAGATCCAATCTCAGACCCCATTCAAAGGCAATAATGACTGAAATGGCAAGAGAATGATATAAAGTTATATCAAACAAAAGCAACTAAAAAAAATAGGAATGGCTGAGATCCACCTAAAATCATATGTGAAAATTTCCCTTTGAAGTCCTAGACTACATTCATTAGCCTAGACTAGTATTCAGGATACTAAGATTTCTCACTGATTGTTCACATGTTCACTTCATACCTAAACCCATTCAAACATGGCAGGAAACTCTTAACAGCAACACCTTCCCATAATTACGGAGAACACCCTGAACAGGTTTTGGATTCTACCGAAAATTAAAGCTAGGATTTTGGCTATAGGTAAAAACATGTTACTGCTTAAATAATTTGAGAAAAGAAGTATTAACAAACATACAATTGTGCCCCTTCCTTTAATCTTCCGTCCAGACTTTGACACCGATGGTTTCTGATCACTTACAATGGGTGTAGCATCAGGAATCTTCCTGGAAAGAAGAATTAAAAATAAAAATTAGGAAATGTAAGCAGTTTTCTCAATGTTTACACGTACAATTTATGCCCCTGTAATACAGCAACACTTCATTTAGACCCAGCATATTTGTAGAATGAGGCACTCCACAAAATATTTCTTAAAGCAAAAGTTTTAAATGCCAAAACTGGGGGTGGATGTGTAAGGAAAAAGGGAGTAACCCAATTGGGTAAAAATACATGATACTAGTATCTATCTGTTTAAGCACTGTTTTTAAACAAAATCCCCTTTTTCTTTTTTTGTGTTAATCCTCAACTGAGGATATTTTCCATTGATTTTAGAGAGAAACATCAAGGTGAGAGAGAGATATCGATTGCTTGCCTCTCACATGCACCCCAACCAGGGCTGGGAATCGAGCCCACTGAGGTACATGTCCGTAAATAGAATCAAACAAGGGACCCTTCAGTCCGTGGGCCTACATTCTATCCACTGAGCCAAACCGGCTAGTGCAACAAAATCCTCTTTTAGATGTTTCTTGTCAAAAAGTAATGTTCTAAAAGAATCCTGAGTTATTCCTGATTCTGATGCTTAGTTGTGCTTTTTTTAGTCATTTAAAATTTTACTTTATATTTCTTACAGCTCATTTGTCTCCACCTCTCTAATCTGTCCCTCTTTCAATGCTCTGAAATGGGTGCGTCATCTTATGGGCAATTTTAAAAGTATGGACTTTGTGGTGACTACAGTTCATGCATTAAGAAGTTGTTTCCTACCTCAGCTTGTTAATATAATGGCTAGCTTTTACTGAGTACTTACTATGTATCAGGCATTATGTTAATGAGCATTTTTAAATAATTTTTTTATTGGGTATAATATATATAATACCCAATTCACAATTCACTGGATATTAATTATATTCACAATGTTATGCAACCACCACTATTACCTTTCTAAAACTTTTTCATCACCGCAAACCAAAACTCTCTCCATTAAACCCTAATTCTCCATCACCCCAACTACTGTTTATTACTCTATTAGATCCAAAGAGTTCAACTCACTTTCCTCTGGCAACCAAAGTTTCACCTCTAATGGAAAACCAAGGAAATGTTATTAGCAATGAAATCTCTCCAGGCCTCCAACAAGAACTTCTCCCCTGACCACCTTGTCCAGCCCCCTTTTTCTATTACTTATAGAATATGAATCCTGGAAGAAGGGTAAAAGTCATTCTTTAATCTGATATCTCCCACAGTTAGCTTTCAAGTGCTTTGACTATAGGTCATGCTCCATAAATGAGTGTGGAACTGCAATAGGCTGATGAAAATCACCAATCAGAAATGAAAACACAGGTTAACCAGCCTACTTACGGTTCAGGTTCCACTGTGACCAGAGGCATATCTCTTCGCAGTAAGAATCGGTTCTCGGGCACCGGGGGTATCTCTTCTGGGCGGACCACAGGCTTCTCCCTTTTAGCATTTGAATCGACTGACCTTTTTTCATTGTTATCACTCCTTTCAGAATGACTTAGAGAGAACATACCAAGTCACCAATAAAGATATGTAATGTTTGCATTCCATTATAATAAAAGCACATAAAATTAGATATTAAATAGCAAAACTACTGATACCTTAAAAGTCTCATTCAAAAGGTTTATACAGTTTCCTCAAAGAACATATAAACATCGACTCAAGTGAAAACCCACAGTATTAAGATTCTTAATATTGTCAAATGTATTCAACTTTTTTCTTTTAAGAGTTTCAGGAAGCCCTGGACTATGTGGCTCAGCTAGTTGGGCATTGTTCCAAGCACCAAAAGGTTGCTGATTCTATTCCTGGTCAGGGCAAATGCCCGGGTTGTGGGCCCAATCCTGGTTAGGGGACATGCAGGAGGCAACTGATCAATGCTTCTCTCTCATCATTGATATTTCTCTCTTTCACTCTCCCTTCCTTTCTCTCTAAAAAATAAAAAAATATATATATTTTAAAAGTTTCAGGGAACGTTTTCACCTGCAAACAAATAAAATGTCTATGCTACCCTATATTTACCAGATTTCATTTACAGTAAAAAAATGCTCTTCTTTTTCAACAATAAGTCGTAGAGCAAAGTTTACAGAATTATATGTGCTTTCCCATTTCAGGGCGTTTCTCTCTTTCAGGTGAGACAATCCCAGGTTTTCACTTACCCTTTTGGACTCACTACATGCTTATTCCTTGGCTCTTCTGAACTACTTGCTTCCTTTCGTCTTTTTTTTGAATGTTTAACTTTTGGCCTCCTCTTACGCTTCCTTCTTCTGCTTCTCTCACGTTCAACTTCACTTTCCGAAGATGATTCTGAAGAGGAAGAGGAATTGGAAGAGGAATCCAAGTCTTCTGAATGAGTTGGTTTCTTCCTTTTTTTCTCAAAAACTTTCAAGAAATATTAACAAAAATATTAGTACTGGGTTTCAGTGCCTACCTACCTTTCAGAGGAAAAAATGTGATTAGCCGATATTGTAAAACATGTTTTATGTGTAACATACTAAAAACAAAATTTAAATAAACTTTTTTTCAAGCTGATAATACTGTTTTCTGGTGAGATTGTAAAGCAACAAAGCCCTTGCCTTCATGGAGTCTATATTCTAGTGGGGTCAGATAAGAAAGTAACTGCTTACAGAATATGACAATTAATAGGGGGCCGGGGGGAGCAGTATAAAGGGAATAGGGAGTCAGGGGTAATTTAAGATAACATCTGAGCAGAGACTTCAGTAGAGGGAGGGAGGGGGTCAGCCAGATATCTGAATAGTGTTCCAGACAGAGGAGTCAGCGGCACAACATGTCTGAGTCGTCAAGGACAACATGCTGAAAGACAACGCATGAGGGGAAAGAGGTCGGAAACAACAGAGCCAGATGCCGCTCAGGCCATTGTGAAGCCTTCAGCTTTGGCTGACTGAGAAGGGAGCCCTAGGAGAAGGTCACTCCGGTGGATCTTAAGGACAGACTGCAGAAGGGCAAGAGTATAAGCAAGGAGAGGCTACTGCCACTGAGAAAAGATTACAGAGGAGCAAAGACAGAGGCAAAGTACACTTATGAGGCTATTGCAATAGCCAGGTAAGAGACACTGGTGGTATTAGCCAGGTGGCAGGGGAAGTAAGAAGAAGAGGTAAGATTTGGTGAGATTTGCTGAAGGACTGGATACTGGGTATGATAAAGGGTCTCAGAGCTATGGATATACCACTCATTAAATCCAGAGGTGTCCAGCGTTATTCTGTATCCTAGCTCCCTTTACCCCCTCACCCCAAACTCTTACCATCTTTTGTTGATTTTGTGGCAAGTACCCCACAGTCAATAACTCGCACATCTGCATAAGGTCTGCTTGCAGCATCAGTTTTCAGATTTTCAATTTGTTCGATTACTTCAAATCCGGAAATAACTAGTCCAAAGACAACATGCACCCTGTCACAACACAGATGTAAGAAAGAGTTGGTTTGCCGACAATTAGGCACAAGCAGCAATCATGCCCACAGACCCAATTATAAAAGCACAGTTTCTGATGCATAAAGGAAATTAGAACTTGAAATCGGCTTCATAAAAGAAAAAAAGCAATTACTCAAATGGGGCCTTAGTTTTCTGCCTTTTAAGGCAAAAAAGTTCTTAACTATTTTATGGTAAATAGTTCTGTAACAGAATGCACTTGCTATTCAGAAACCATCCTACAGGGTCACTTCATGGCTGAGAAGCCCTGGTAAAGGCCCCTTCAGGGACATGGAGGCCACGGAGTCTCAGGGTTACCGTACCCTATGTATGAACTTTAAAGAGCCTGGCTGTAAAGGACCAAGAGCGCCCCCTTGAGGGTTTACCCATGGTCCAATATGCCTGAGACTGACCACACAGTCCCCACCTCCCCTGCCCAAAGCAATAAAAGTTTCCTACCCATCCAGGTGCGGAGCAGGTTTGGTGGTACTGAGGAGCAAACATCACAAAGATGGCAGAAGCCAGGTGTTCAGGTAAACAGAGCAGAAGAGTTGAACACAGAGCATGTAGGAAACAAAGAGGTAAAGATAAAAAGACCAGGAAAAAGTTAAATATGACAAATATGTAACTTAAAATACATATGTAAACCTTAAAAACAGCAATAGTAGCATTTTACTGATTAAAAAACTCAATTATATTTATTTCTCTCTCTATATATATATATGCACACACACACATACACACATATTTATGAAATGTTTGAAATATACAGCAGCATAGACATTAATATTAAAGTTACTCTAAATTCAAAACGAAACAAAAAAAACTCAAAATGTATTAAGATAACCAAACAAGAATAAAGAACTATCATTTGCTCTACAAAAATGAAAGTGTGACCAACACGTGCTCCACACACTTGACGAGCATGAGTTCTTTTCCTATGTCTCATACTGAGTCAGTGTGCATCTTTTAGGCAGGCAGATGGAAGTGAGGCCTCAGGAATCGTTTCCAGAACTTTCCACCTCTTTCCTTCACCTAAGGTGAAACTCTGCCACCACTCAGAGCAGCTCTGAAAATGCCATAGGAGCAAACCTTCAGTCTGCCAAGCAAGGTAAACAACGATGGGCAACATCAGAGACATTTCAAACTTCTGTGGCCCAGGAAACACTCAACTGGCTTCTTCCAGTCACAAGCTGGCAGCTAGTCGCTCTTGAGAAGCCTTTAGGGTACATTTAGTTAAAATATTTTGAACCCAAACTGGTTTTCCCATAGCATTTTCTTAGATCTTCACCTTGTGAATTGCAGTAGAAAAAAATCAAAAGCAGATATAACTAGACTCGGATGGATATGCCACAAACATCTTAACTTTTAAGATGAGTAATGAACACTTGAGAGAAAGATCACTGGACATCAGGCCATGTTAAACCAGTCAATTGTTCCAGGAGCTCCTTTATCAATCTTCACATTCATTTTAAGTGAACAAAATACAATTTAACCTTCACAACAAAGCTAAAAGTCAGTATTCTACACAGAACTTTAACACTTATACTTACATTAAGAAAATCCAGTTCGGTAAGACCACTTCATAATTTAAGAAAATTAAAATGTCAACCTAAGTAGTTCTAGAATTTTAAAGGGGATCTTGAGTTTTAAAACCACTAGTCTCAAGTTTTCCTTAGAAGATTGAGAAGTGGTTACTTAAGCTAATGTAATGTAAAATGAATAAAAACAGGCAGGAAAAGGAAAGAAAAGAAAAAAGAAAAAGAAAAGAGAGAGTAAGTCTAGCAAACTGGTGAGGCACGAATGCTTCAATCAATAAACTAGCATCCAGAAACTACCTGGGACAATAACTTTGAGAAAGAAATATGCTTCCCACAATTATCAAACTTTACCAAAGCACATTAAAGACAGGATGGAATCAGTCCATACTCTAGACAGTGATTCAATTGTAGGCAAGATATAAAAAAATTCAAAGGTATAAATGTTCTGCTGTGTAAAGGCTCCATTTCAAATGTGCAGCAGTGAAAACAATGGATGATTTGTTCGTTAGATTTATTCCTCTTCTTTCCTTGATCCTTTCTCTCACAATTCCCAAATGTTCTGGTACTGAGGAAAACCTACAGATTTTTCTAAAACACACAGTACCAAATTCAAGTTGCCACCTTGGCTAATAGGAATGTTGTAATATGGCAAACCTTTGCAAATGGTAAGATATAAACATTCTAGCTAACTGCATTGATGTAGCAACATAGCACCTGAGACTCAATCTGAGGACAGAATAACTACCTTTATGTAAATTCAAGTTGTGTTTTTAATTCAAATGAAAGCTGAAGACAAATGAACTTGGCCCTTCACTGCAGTAGTGAAGGAAACAAATGAAGACAGGAACAATTCATTCAAGGACAAATTTCAGCTGGTCCACAGTGTCCAACCTGGTGTAATTCATCTGTTTACTCACGTCTGCAACTCAAGATGCAGCAATACAAACTTACACCCTAGTTGGTTAGACTCCATATTAAGAATACTGAAAGGATCCTAACGAAAGGAAGCCCTCTGGGGTTCTGCCCCCATTCCAGGAGAAATCCCAGGGTAAAGCAGGCTTACTGGCATGGGCTGACACTCAAACATGATAAACAGAGGATGCTGCCAGAGGGGTTACAGAAGGACAGGGGAAGTGATATGCTGGGTCCAAGCTATTCAATTCAATTACAATGGACAAAGCCATCTCATTTCACTAACTTGTTTTGATCTTTCAAAACGATACAGTTGTCAAGTCCCATGCAGTGATGACATATGCTCAGTAAGTTAAGACCTTAAAACACTATCATTTGTTCATGCTTGTGAAAGCATGTCTAAAGGAGAACCACACAGAACATTTCAAATGACGAGATTTCAATATTTTCGTTTTTCCAGTCACTTAGATACTAATTGTCCAGGTTTCCCTAACCCTTGAATCTACGTAAAAAATGCAGGGGTGAGCAAAAATAGGTTAATAATATTAAATAAATAGTACAACAATCAACCAATAAATATTACAAGAATAAACTCTGTTTCGTGTACTCACAACTGTAAACCTACTTTTGTCCACCCCTTTATATGTACCAGGGTTCATTTAAACTTTGTAAATCCTATAAATTGTAAAGGGTCACTATTACTCCAACAATCTATTTTTATACCATTATCAAAGAATCTTTGGCCTTATTCAGAAATGAATAGTTCTATACTAAAATGAAATCTAAAGCCATTATATACAATATAACACCCCCAACACTGAAGATGTGTGAAAACTTGGTAGAAATAAGCCACTGAAATGAAAACATGCTTCCCAGGGTCAACCATGAACAATAAAACACACTTGTTTTACAGGTATTGCTGCCATATAGATCAAGCAGAGTTTTATTTCCCCTTAAAATTGTTCAATGCACATACAATAGGATTAAAGAGATAGAGGCAGAGAGAGAGAGAGAGAGAATGAGAGAGAGAGAGAGCCTTAGAGTAATGAGACATTACCTTTGGAGCGCACGGTGTAACACTCTTTCTGTAAATTTTACACAAAAATGGCAAGAAATAAATTGTAATACACTTTTAAGACAAGACTGAATCTATGTTTTAATATTAATATAACTTTGAAATTAAATATTTTCAAATTTTATGCAAAGCAAGAAAGCTTCTTAAAATGGAGGGCTCTAAATTTTCTTTCACATAGGTATGTATGTAGAGGTGAGTCATATTTAAGAAAAGCATTGTAGTTGAAGTTGAAATCTCTCAGTGTCAATACCTATCAACAAAACATTACATTTTTGCTTCACAAATCCTAGAAACTAGCTAAGTCACCTAATTTTTTTCATAACAAAAGAACAATGTATCCAGAGTACATATAAAAACATAAATCTTTAATGCCCAGGAGCCATTATACCAGTGGAAAGCAAAGATTTAAATGGAAAAAATACTGAGTTAAGAAAATTCAAAACAAACATTTCAGAAAACTTTACTAATTCACTTCAAATACTTCAAGAATGTTTGTGCTCCCACATTTGAAACCATTTTTCAATTACACATCACAACATACCACCACCAGAAATGAATAAGCAAATTTTGGACTGTTCACAGACATGAACACACTGCAGCTGTTAAGTCACTGAAAATAATAATATAATAAAGCATCATAACTAGAATTTTAAAGACCTTCTCAAAAGACAAAAAGGCAAAATAGATGAATGTATGAGAGTACACTGTCAAATCTTGGCCACATTAACAGAACTTTATTGTCCTAATTTTCCCCATTATGTACTTTTTTTCAAAGAATATATACTGTCTGATCAATTTTAACTCTACTGAACTCTAAACATAGCTATTACTACTCAGACCAAAATCTTATTTTATAGTGGACAAAATTCTTTACAGGTTTTTAGGACATATCAAATATTAAAATAGTAGTACTTAAAAACAAGCTATAATTTTGTGTAATGGCATTGATACATGGATTACTGTCAAAAAAGAGTATGTTTCAAATAATGTGAAGTTTTCAGTGAATGTAAAAAAAATGACTCTCAGTGTAAAATAGTATAGGAGAAGGACACAGAGATAGCATATTTCTGTCTAATGCAGTCTTTAACATGCGATTTTTTCCTTCCAGCTCCTGAAACCACCACACCATCCTGGAGGAGGCATCAACAAATTACGGAGCGGCACACACTTGTAAGGGCAACAGAAACTGCCAAGCCACATTACGGTGCCTACACATATGTTCCAAACGTCACAAAGTAAGAGTTCTAAAAAATTCAGTGCTAATTAATGTTAACATAATATCTACCAATACATACATCACCTAAATACTAAGTAATAGTAGGACTGAATTTTAGGATGATACGTGATACTTAAGAGAACCAGGCTTATGGTTAAGTTTCATAAGCATCTTTGTCATGAAAAATCCTAAAAATAACATATGAAGCTATTACCCACAAAAAAAAAAAAGAAAAAAAGAAAAAAGAAAAAAAGAAAAAAGCTAGACCTTCTCAGCTTACTAGCATTTCTTCTCGCTATTCATGAATAGTGGAGGAAAAAGCATTTCTCCCACACACACTTTTGTACCCCAAATGTCAACAAAGCTTTATAAACCCCTAAACCCAAACCACCCAGCTCCCTTTGTTCTGGATGATCAGCATCTCTGTCCCTTTCAGGTGAGCAGCAAGTCCGATTCGTAAAGGACAAAGCACATTCTAGAAATTCTTCTGTTTCCCCCCTCTAGTCCTATTTATAACTGCTGAAGTATAACAAAACTCATTGTTTAAAGTCAAGTTTGACTTTTCTGCATTATCTTGTTTTCAGACCTTTTGTTAATTATCAATATCATGACCAATGACAGAGACTTCTGGAAAGTTCTGAAAGTCTTTCTACCCCACAATTGTGACATAGGCACAGCGGACAGATTGCTGCTGCTGCTGCTCCTGGCAGAGGCTCCATGAGCCCAAAGCTTCTTCATAGCACCTCAGACTGATGAAAACTAGGCAGACACTGATTTCCTCTAGACAATACAATGTCTGCATAAAAATCATTTCACATATTGAAACTTAGGATCAACCCACAAAACTTTATGTGCACATGTTCACACTAAAATATTTACTTGATCTTTGAAAGTGGAGTAGTACTGTATAATGTGCATTTTATTTTCCAGGAATGCTTGATGCTTCTAAAACCTAACCACAACAAATTCAGAGCAGAGAGGTCAATGAGATTTCGTACCTTCCTGTGTACAGGAAGCTATCAACTTTTTATAGATTATGAATGAAATTTCTATAACCTGGCTTTTCTTCCTTAGCTAACATTCTCTCTGGAACAAAAAGGATGAACCAGATTTCTAAATTCTTTTCTATTCCAAGACTTTGTAATTCTATACCTTTTATTGTGGTGCTTCCTAGTTTTGGCTTAAAACATAAATAAAAATAAAAAGGACAAAATGACTAAATACTGAATTAACTTGGTTATGACTTTTGTCCCTGTTCTTTGAATTCCTTCAAAAATACCTCAACATGAACCATTATTTCCTCAGTGATCCATGGGGACACCACCATACATCACTTCTCTCATGTTTCCTGAGCAGTGCAATTCCAAAAAGAATCCGTTTTCTTCTATTTAGGTCCCTAAACCAAAATCATGATCACTAATACAGTAGTAGATATAAGCAATTATTGCAAAAATTACAAGTAGCTTGATAGAAGAAAGCCTGATTTCCATCATCTATGTAATTGTTCTACCCAAAGAAAGCAATATATGCAAAATTATATATAATAAAAAAGCTGTATGCATAAGAAGGGGAAGTTTTAAATGTGTAAGTAATGACGACAATAGTTATTGCACAAAGCACAAAAATTCTTGAGGAACACTTTGAAAATACCCACACTAATAGCGTTAAATAGCTTTAGGAATTGCAAAATAACAGATTTAGAACATAAACTACAAATACAATTTTTGCAAGGATATATCAAAAGTGCTTATTAAGTTTACAAAACAGGAACTATAAAGACAGTTCTTGGCATGTTTACCATCCATTCTTACACTATCCTTTCTTTTTTAAATGGCAGAGCTACTGCTAGGTGCCACAGAAAGAGCTGTGGTAAGGAGGCGAAAGGCAGGGGAGCCATCGGGTGGCTCTGTGACCATCAAGCCCTGAAGCCTCAACTCTGAGAGATACTATCTGTGATCACATACACAAGTTGAAGACAGTACGTTATACTTTTTTACTACTGCCGATTTAGGCTTGCAAAACGAGAATTTTCAAAGATTATTCTTTTATGGAAAAAAAAAAAAATCTCCATTTTACTGTCCTTTCTAAAAAAGCAAAATGTCTTGTTTAGAAATGTGAATGGTTTGATTTTTACATTGCAACCCACGAGGAACTGGTACTTTTAGCCAGCATTTATAAAAGCACATTCATAAAAACTTCTTTTAAAAAAGATTAGGATTCTTTTTGAGTGTGCAAAAACAGTTACTTCCAAGATTGCTTTTTAACTGAAAATGCATCTCCAGAATTAAATTTCAAAGTAAAAGTAGAAATTTTTCTTTCAATCACAGATTCACAGTAATTTTAATGCCATCTACAGTTAATTATGAAAACAAGTTGAAAATTTTTAATCTCAATGTACTCAAGTTAAAATTTTCATGTGGCATTACTTGTCAAAAGTAGTATTCTGCTGTGAAATTAAGCAATGGCCTTAATTTTGTTTTGATACTCAACATTTCTATGAAAGACTTAAGCAAGGACTAAATACAGTAACAAGACACTCTAATTTTTTTTAAGGGAGAATCTCATATATTGTTTTAATTAATGTATGTATGCGCACTAGTTTTAACTCTCAACGTTTTATAAACTAGCTAAGCAGTAACATTGGGAAGAACCTGCTGCTACCTATTAAATCAAATTTTACATGTACTGATATAAAAAGGGAAATCTAAAAGAAACTTTAGAGCCCTCAGATAGTAGCTTCTTGACCAATGAATGGTTAGTTTATCATGTACAGTTCAGATAAGCTTAAAAATGGAAAAGGGAAACTCAATCAAAGAGTTAAGAGCTTCTATGTATTTAATTACCAAATAAGAAATTTTTCAAAATATTTCCCACTATCTTTTTTTTGACGCCAAAGAAGGTTAAGAATAAAAAATATTCTATAAAGAAGTGTAATAACTAATACTCTCTGGAAACAAAATGAGATATAGGAACAACTGCTTAAGGTCTTCCTTTCTCCTGTATAAATCCAAGTATTATATCTTCTCTCAGTTTTCCATTTTTAGGACATTCTTAGGAACAGAATGCCCCTTATCTGAACTTTATCAGATCATGTTGGAAATCTATTTTTTTCAGACAAATTTAAAATGTGAAATTGAAATTCCTTTAAATATAAACTTCTTTAAAGACAGGGAAGCGCCATTCATATTCATTCATTCAGAAAGATGCCCCCCCGCCAAAAACAAAAACTTTTTCTGATAAGACATAAATAGTTCTCCAATGAGTAGCACAACTATAGAGATTTACTTCCAATCTAAAGCATTAAACTTCATGCTAGACAATTATCTTTCATATTTTATATCATAGGATTACAATGAAAATAGGTTTTGGAGGAGCTGTAAAGAATATAATTAAGAGTATGCCAAAGGTCTTTAAGATGAAAAATAAGTAGTAAGGTTTCAGTTGTGCATGCACATATATATAAAAGTGCTTGTATTTTTAAAAGCAAATTTAGCATGCTGAAGTTTCCTGAGTGATAATTTCATAAATTCTGGTGGAAATGACAACAGCATTGGGTTAACTGCATAGAGATCTCATAGGTTTGAGGTTTTTGAAATATAATATCAGAAAATAATGTTATCTCTCTCAAATTGGCTCAAAGAGCAATAAGAGAAAAAGCAACTATATGATGGTTTATTCAAACCAACTGCTTTCCATGCCAAGGGTACATCTAGTCCTAGACTATTAACAATTTTAAATGGCCATCAATTATCCATGTTCTGTCAGGCTTTGGTAAACTGAGCCTCCAAATTAGTTAAGAGTCAAAGTCAATTTCTTTTCGTAAGATAATAATGTATTTTGAAAATAATGTACACATTCAAGGTATGAACTTTAAGTACAAATCCAGGATATCTGCTGAACACAGAAGTGGTTGCTAGAGCTTACCAGTTACTATAGCATTAGAAGTTAAAAATAAAAACCCAACTCACAGAATTCTAGCATTAAACTTGGTTTAACTATACCATCTTTCTCATGAACGGCGCTTCTCTGTTTAAGAAAAGCCCATCTCTGAATTATGCCTACTCACATGAAAAACTGGGAACCATTGGTATGTTTCCCTCGATTTGCCATTGACAAAAGGAACGCTCTGTCATGTTTGAGAATAAAGTTTTCATCTGTTTGAAGAAAACACAAATTCGTCAGTCTCCAGTATAAGCCACTTTTACAGTGTAATGTTCACAGAAATAAATAGAAAGCAAAGGATGAAATTCCTCTTCTGGTCAGTACAGATACTTGACTGAATATTTAGAAAAAAGTTTCAACTAACCAAATAATAAAAGCATAAAAAGACCAAAAAAATACTACTTAAAGCCGTGAGAAAAAGAACATATATTTAATATTTTATATAAACAGCCTTAGAACAGTCACTTTTTAATAGTAACACACTTTGGCTAACATTTAAACTATTAACTTTCAGGGTAAACTAATAAAGAAATTTTAGGGGGAAAAAAATCTTTTAGTAAAGCTCATTTTCTCTAAATTTCTTGCCTACTTGTACATGAGAGTTTAATAATCTTCTTATGTGCTTAATTTCTATATTTCTTATGAGCTGAAGCTAGACTATTAGAGCAGAAACCAAAAAATTACATAAAGTTGTAGAGACATGCCTAAATCAAATTAAGTATGAGGATTCCTTCCAATTAATAGGATCACAAAATTATCTAGGGAAGGAAGTCCTGTAAAAACAACTTAAATGGCAAAATACAATTTTCAAGTATACAAGTATTTACCACAGGGAATAGCTACGTGAAAGTAGCCTACCAGCATCAGTTTCAAAGCTACAGGATGATAGGACCAGCCAACGAGCTGTTTCTTAATAGTTCAAGGGAAATACTCGGTCAGGAAAATCACTTAGAGATTATTGTAATTCCAGCAGAAATATGTTGAGAATTTAAATTTCCTTTTAACATTCATACAAACAAATCTTTCTTTAGAACAAACAGAAACATAGAAAACTTTTAAAAAATGATTACCTTGGGAACAGGCTTCTGAAAAAGAGTAGTAATCCATTTCCCCCAAAAGAAATATAAAAGACTATTATAACACCGGAGCTATCACGGCATTAACACCTAGTAATATTGGGTCCCATTATAATATCTGCAACTGACTTTTCTAAGGCGTTCAGGACAAGTGCAATAGTTAGATGTATGCAAATGCTACTGCTGTAGGAATAATACACAATCATATAGTTCTAGTAGACAAAAGAAAATATACAAACCTTGGACAAAGAAAGAAAGACCAACTTTTATTCAAAGAAATTGCTTGGTTTAGGGGGGAAAAAAGACACAACTAGATTCTTTTCCCTGATGTGGAAGTAATAACCCATCAGGGAAAGAACAAAGGTACAGGTGTATGAAGTAGTATACACAATTTTCCAAGTCTTCAAGCAATACTGAAATCCAGCCACAACCTGACCCAGTCTGTCCATAAATTTATTAGGAAGGGTGCAAGGGAACAGAATTGGAGTTTGTGTTACTGAGCTTCGTTCTCTTACCTTTTCATTTTGCAAAAGACCACATTCTCTATAAACAAAAGAATATGTTGACAGTTTTAGGCAGGAAGATAGGAGTTTTCATGTATATAGTTGCCTAACCTCCATGCTGAAGTCATGTTTAACCATAACGTTAGCCTTAATTAATCTTGTCAATTAAAAGTTTATATTACAATATACTTTATCCCCAAGTTCATGCAAATAAAGTATTTTCATGCAGCATTAGTTTCATGCAAAAAGTGAACTAAGAATAAACCTCTTCTCATTAAAAGTATATGATCAAACTTCTTTTATCATCAGACTGAAACAAGAAACCATAAAATATTAAGGCTTACCTTTAAAATAGCCACCATAAATTGATTCTCCACCTTTTCCATTACCTGCAAATAACAAGCTACATTGAACTACAATGAAAATTTAAAATATGGGGGGAAGGGGGGAATTGGTAAGATATGTATACATATAATACCTTAATAAAAAAAAATAAGAAAAAAAAGAAGAAAAATTTAAAATATATTCATACATATAAATTATTTTTATGGTTTCAATTTGCTGAAGGAGATAACACCTTGTAATTATTTCAGATAATCAAAATTCTAACGAATCTCATCTTTAAAAATATAAGTGTAATCCTATTATAATACTATTAAAGAAATTATCTCCACAACCCATTTATTTCAAACAGTAATCACACCAATAAAATTCTAAAATAAATACAACTGAACAGTACTTTAGCATTTATAAGGTAATTCACCAAGTAATTATATTGTTAAAATTGCATAAAAACAAAATGTCTTAGCATTTTGCTTTTTCATACATTCTTGGTCTACAACATTCATTCACCCAAAACTGTTCATTCACTGACCACCTAAAATTTACATTATACTGTAAGTGACAGTATTTACAATTTGATATAATAATGATTACTTCAGAAACTGATAGGTGAGGTTATTAGGGACATAACTTTTAGCTCTACCTTCACTGAAGTCCCCACCCTGAATCATAAAGTTTTTAACCACACGATGGAACGTGGAACCTTTATAACATAACTTCTTCCCAGTTGTTTTCCCAAGGCCTTTCTCCCCTGGGGAAAAAAGAGAAGAAATTTAGCTACAAAAACATCTTTCAGTGGAAAGTACCATCCCATTAAACCCTGTCAAATCTTTCCTGTGTTGGGCATTGTAAAAGGTATAAGGGGTACACAGTGTGACAACTTCACACTCACACACAAACCAAAGTAAGTATACAAAGCAGCATATTCATGTTAAATTGTGTGGTAATCAGGGAATTGGTGTAAAGATTGTGTACACACATGGGTATACCCAAGTATGGATTTTAAAAATAGATATAATCTGCTGTTTCTATTTTTAAGGTAACATTTCTATTTTTAAAAAATAGCAGCCCTGGCAGGTAGCACATTTAGTTAGAGTATCATCACAACATGCCAAGGTTTCTGGTTCGATCTCCAGTCAGGGCATATACAGGGATCCACCAAAAAATACATGAATGAGTGGAGCAACAAATTAATGTCTCTCTCTCTCCCCCCCCCCCCCGTCCTTTCTCTCACTCTCAAATCAATCAATAAATTAAAAAAAAATTTTAAATATCAATCCAATTTCATATAACAAGGAATAACTTAATTCTATTTTGCCCTTCTACCTTTTAATCCTAAATTTCTTGTGAAATCTGGAGTGCTAAATTTGCTTGGAGTACTGAAACTTCTGAAATTCTACCAAATCAGTTTTGAAAAGCTATTATTTTTTTTAAAATATATTTTATTGATTTTGTACAGAGAGGAAGGGAGAGAGATAGTTAGAAACATCGATGAGACAGAGTCATCGATCAGCTGCCTCTTGCACACCCCCTACTGGGGATATGCCTGCAACCAAGGTACATACCCTTGACCAGAATCGAACCCGGGCCCTTTCAGTCCCCAAGCCGACGCTCTATCCATTGAGCCAAACCGGTCCCGGCTGAAATGCTATTATTTTATAAACTACATTGTATAGAGATTTTATTACACATAATAGTACTCTATTTTTCATTTTTGAGACCATTTAGTCTTCTCTCTTCCCTTAAAAAAATGCTTCCATGATTTCATATTAGTGAAAATAATATTTTTATTTGCTAAACTCATTTCACAGCTCATTCATCTACTTTGTTCAGCAAGGAAAACTGTAAGCCATGACTTCTCATTAGAATAATTTAATGATTTATTTACCTGAGCATAGGCAAAGGAAGTTTTTGCATGTTTTTGGACATATGTCTGAGAAGAGCTGAAACATAATGCGACCAACTGAAATAAAAGACAGAAGAAAAAAGGTAAGCAAATGAATTACCGTATACCACATCTTACTTGGGAGAAATAAAACAGATACATAAAATTGAGAAACTAGAAAGTCTATTTAAGTAATCCATTTTAAATTTTTAAAATTAACAAGTACTATAAATAGATTTTAAATTTGGCTACAGACAAGAAAAGCCAAGACAAACCTATATCATGTTGTAATCTTGATGTGACCACTAGGTGGCAGGAATAAAATCAGCAAGTACCCAGAATCTGAATAAAATCAAACATCATCTTTCAGTAATATTATTGTTCCTATTTCTCAGAAACAGCTGTGCTGGAATTGTAGGTGCAATGGTGAGAAAGGAGACATACATTATGGACATCAAAGGTATGGTAGTTATAAAAATGAGCACTGACTGGAAAAAGTATTATAGATGATACACTATAAAAGGCAAAGAATATCACATATACAATTATAAGGATAAGAACAAAGGTAGGAACAGAACATATTTGGTAGGCAGAGAATAAAATCTAAGAAGAAATTAAGCAATTAAGAATTTCTACAAAATCAGGCCATTTACTCAAACATCATTTACTAACTAGAGACCTGGTGCACGAAATTCTCGCACTGGGTGGCGGGCGGGCGAGGCGGGGGAAGACAGGGGTTGTCCTTCACCCAGCCTGAGCCCTCTCGCAATTCGGGAGCCCTTGGGGGATGTTCAACTGATGGCTCAGGCTTGCTCCCCGCAGTCAGTGTGCGCATAGTTCTGCTGTTCAGTCAATGTGCAAATTAGCCTTTTATTATATAGGATACCCTCCCCATGCACCAGGATGTCCAACAAAACACAGGCTGGAAATGACAGGTGCACATTGCTATACAATGTGCTGAGCCATCAGTGGTATGAACAGAGTACACTTTATCCACCCTGGTCCTGGGCATGTGAGGGCAAGGCAAAAGGAACCATGTCTGTTTTACTCACCTGTGTTCCCACTGATTTTGTGCAGTGCCTGGGAAGAATTAATATTTGAATAACCCTACATAATAAAAGCCTCATATGCTAAGTGTCCGGTTGTCTGTTCAACGAATCAAAGTGTAATATGCTAATGATATGCTAAGGCAGCTCAACTGCTTGCTATGATGACATGTACTAACCACCAAGGGGTAGACGCTTCAACCAGTAGGTTAGCTTGCTGCTGGGGTCCGGCTGATCAGGACTGAGTGAGACGGGCTGGACATGCTCTGGAGTCCTCCTGTGGTCCCTCCGGGGCTGGCCAACCTCCTGCGTCCCACCCAGGCCCCATGCTGGAGCTGCCCCCTGGGGGTCAGTGCACTACCACAGGGGGAGCATTGCTTAGCCAGAAGCCAGGCTCATGGCTGGCAAGCACAGCGGCAGTGGTGGGAGCCTCTCCCGCCTCAGCTTCAGGCAGGCGGTAAGGAGTGAGGGGTCCTGGACTTTGAGAGTCCCAGACTGTGAGAGGGATGTCTGACTGCCAGCTTAGGCCAAATTCCTAAGGCAGTGGGGGTGGGGAGGTGGGCCTAAGCTGGCAGGTGAACATTCCCCAACGGCTACAGGGCACAGGTGGGGCTGTGAAACCCCTCCCCCTCCCCCAGCACCAGATTTTCATGCACCAGGCCTCTAGTAATGACAATAAAACCCTTGAAACAAAATTATTTAATGGTAGAGAATAAGATATAAATGAAAGCATGCCTAAATATACAGATCAAAAGTATTCACTATGTATCAGCGAAAGTTACTCTATGTGACACCATCAAGACTTATCGTTTAATAAAATCTCTTTATTTTCAGAGATATAAGCCCTTCTAGAATTCAGACAGAATTATGTTACTTACAAAGAAAAAACAACCACAGTATAAATAAAGCCAACAAGAGAGGGTTGAATTGGTAAGATAAGAGACATTTCCTCATATTGACTTTGCTAAAGTAGATAAAAGAGGAAATATGGATTTAGGAAAACTTAAACATGTAATTACATACAGAATTTAAAACATATTAACTGTCTTTCAAATTACTGTGGTAGAGTAACTCACATAAAAGGAAGTGGTAAGATAACATAAATAAGATATAAGCTAAGGTGAGACTAAAACATCTCTATACTTATTTAGGCACCTAAAGCTTTTTCATAACATGTCATTCAACACCCAAGTAAAGGTATCCTGAAGATAGTACAATTCAAAACTCAACAGAGAATGTATTTATTGGCTCATGTAGTTAGCTGACAAGGATACTGGCACAGATCAGAGAATTGAAGAACTGTAAGAACCAGGATGTTGGGGAATGGGGCAGATCTTGGAGCTGCCAAGCTTCACAAGGCAAAAGATATTGAATACCATCACTTTCTTTGTCCCAATCAATGCATGCAGTCCTGGATATTTCCATTAATGCATAAGACCAAAAGTAAATTACTCACTCAACTCAGGAAGAAAAAAAGCAATAAACCTAAGAAGGTTTTAATGAAAGTACAAGCAGAAATCAATGAAGTAAGAAACAGAAATATATCAGACTTGATAAATAACTCCCAAAGCTGGCTCTTTTGGGGGGGAAAAAAAATTTAGAAAGAAGAATTATAAGAAAGCATGGGTTGCGACTCCATACAGGAAGGAAGGAAGGAAGAAAGGAAGGAAGGAAGGAAGAAAGGAAGGAAGGAAGGAAGGGAAAAGGAAAGGAAAGGAAAGGAAAGGAAAGGAAAGGAAAGGAAAGGAAAGGAAAGGAAAAGGAAAGGAAAGGAAGGAAAAGGAAGGAAGGAAGGAAGGAAGGAAGAAGGGAAGAAGAAGGAGGAAAGGAAGAGGAAAAGAAAAGGAAGGAGGAAGGAAGGAAGGAAGGAAGGAAGGAAGGAAGGAAGGAAGGAAGGAAGAGAAAAGAAAAGGAAAGGAAGGAAGGAAGGAAGGAAGGAAAAGAAAAGGAAAGGAAAGGAAAGGAAAGGAAAGGAAGGAAGGAAGGAAGGAAGGAAGGAAGGAAGGAATCCAAGAAATTAAAAGGCTGTTTAGTACCTATCTTCTTCAGATATGGGTAAATTACTTCTAATCTTGAAGTAACATTAAAGTATAATGTCATCAACTATTTCAACACAGAAAAATGTGAAAAGCTTAACAAATTTTATGAAGCAAATTGAAACCAAAGCCTGAGAAGGGTGATATAAACAAATTATCGATGCTTCCAACTCTCAATCCCTCTCTCTTCCTCTCTGTAAAAATCAATAAAATATACATATTTTTTTAAAAATATCCATCCAGACTCAAAATCTAATGAGAGACTATAACAAAATGTCTAAGATAACATCATTCCTTTGCTCAAATTCCTTCTGTAGTTTCTTATCTTAGTGAGTCAAAGTTCTTACTATGGTCTATAGCCATTTCCTGCTACTCTCTGTCCTCCCCTACACCAGCTACCCTGAACTTCTGAGGCTCCTTAAACAGGCAAGCACTTTAAATTCCCTCCTTGGGATCTTTGCATTAACTGTCCCTCTTCTGGGAATGTCCTTCTCAAAGATGTCATCTCCTTCTGATGTCTGCTTAAATGTCCTCTCCTCGAAATGGCCTTTTCTGACCAACTTATTAAAATAGGACCCCTACGACAGAAGCCACTTTGTTTTACTCATTCTATATCCCCACAGTCTAAACTCCAGAGTAGAAAGAGGCTCTCGGGAATCCACTGAACAAGAGGGTGCACAAAGACTGCATATATGCCTTCCATTAAAAGTTCTGTTGCACATACTTAAAAAAATTTTTTTAAAAAGCCAAGAAAACAAGTTTTAAACCCTGTACGCTCTGCTGCTGCTAAGAATGAAACCATCCGTTAAAGAAGAAAATACTTAATTTTCAACAAAATAAGCAGACAAACACATTAATGCACGCTGCAAGTCTGCTGGTACGAAATGCTTTGGTTTATTTACCCTCAGAGAACTTTCCCAGGCCATTTCCCTATGAGCCAGAAATTCTGGCTAAAGACACTATTAAGGAATAATTGAGGCCAGATAACCAATTCATGGCATTCAAATTTTGGGAAATACAAAATATAGGGGTGCAGACATCCCAGTTCACAGCAAGATAACTGAAATCGGAACTGGAAGTGTTTGCCACCTAGGAACAGATTTTTTTTTAAAGTCCTAAAGGAATTGCACCCCTTTCCTTGGCGCCAGGCATGAAGGACTCAGCCTGGGGGTGCAAAGGGACATAGAGTTTGGGGATGAGGGTGGAGAAGGGGGCGAGGCCCGGGCTCCGAGGAGTGGGAGTGGTGTACCGGAGCCACCCTCCTCCCCAGACTTGGGCTCCGGAGAAACGGAGTGTTGGTGACTGCCTGCCCGCTCCCAAACAGGCTCGGGGAGAGTGGGTGAGGGTAGACCCCTCCTCTTCCCCGAGCTAAGCCCGGGCCCCGGCAGGACTCCCCGGTGTCTGGCTCACCCGGCTCCCGGTTGATCTCGATGTCAAAGTGGCACTGCGGCCGGTCCTGCGCCCCCATCGCTACCGAGGCGGTGGCGGGAAGAGCTAGGAGAGAGGGGGTGGGGGGAGAGCGGTCAGGTCCGGGCCGGTCGGGAGCCGGGGCGGGGGCGGGGCCCGAGCCATGGTGCGAGAGGGAGAGCCGGCGCCCCCTCCCGCCCCCGGCCCCCCAGCTCCCACACGGCAGGCACGCTCAGGCGGGCAAGCTCTTCACCTGGCTGGCCTCCAGCCTGAGCAGCTCCCCGTGCACAGAGGAGAGAGCGCGGTCACAGCGGCCGAAACACAACGCCGATAACGGACCACCTCCCCCTTCCCCCAGCCCAGCCTCCCAGTGCCACGCTAAACCCCGCGAGAGTCTGAACAAATACCGCGAGAGCACAGCCTCCGAGAGGGATCTTACCGGAAAGGAAGCGCACGAGAGCGTGTCTGGGAGCTCGGGCGAAGCCTCGGGTAGGGCGCTCCTATTACTGAGCCGGTCCTTTTCTTTTTGTCCCGCCCCTTTTCTCTTTACTGGAATCAGCCGTCCAATCTGGGAGCCCTGGACGCGCCTGCGCTCTCACTTCCTCTCGTTCCTTGTCCAGGGCTGTGAGCGTCCACGCTCACCGGATATCGCGAGGCTTCGCTGTTGACAGCTTCGAGGAGCCAGTTGTGTGAATTAACTCCTTGAGGTTTAAACCCACCGAGCTTTTATAGCCTGTTTGTTTGTTTGTTTTGTTTTTATCCTCTGTAATATGCTCTAACCTCGCCCCAAAATAACTTTTACATTTTTATAACTTAGGGAAGGGAGAGAAGGGGTGGAGAGAAAAGGAATCCCGTGAGAACATACACACACGATTCGACCTTATTTGCTTATACTATTTAAAAATTTTTAAATATTTTTACTAGTTTCAGAGAGGAAGAGATGGAAACATCAATGATGAGAATCACTGATCTGCTGCCTCCTGCATGCCCCACACTGGGGATGGAGCCATGTCCTAACTTGGAATCAAACCAACCTCTTGGTTCATGGGAATGATGCTCAATCAACTGAGCCACACCAACAGGGCAAGGCTGCTGTCTGTCTTCCTTTTTCGCTTTATTTTAAATATATATTTATTTTGGAGAGGAATTGAGAGGAAGAGAGAGATAGAAACATCAATGATGAGAAAGAACCTGATTGGTTAGGCTACTATCTTTACAAAGACCTGCTTACAAGGTTGGCCTTTGAGTGGAATCTGGGAACTTAATGGTAATCAAATTCCTACAATTATAGAAAATGTTCATTATATAAGAGTGTCTCACTATGCCTAAACTATTTGTGTAAACACTATGGTTTTTGCTGAACACCTGCTTTCTTTTTAGGAATCTGGAATTTAGGCGTTAGGCAGAAGATGTATATGTGACTAGCCTCTAATAAAATAATTTTGGTACTGCCCCACTGGTGTGGCTCAGTGGTTGAGGTCAGGGTTCGATTTCCTTTTTAAAAAAAATATATTTTATTGATTTTTTACAGAGAGGGAGAGAGAGAGAGAGAGCTAGAAATGTCGGTGAGGGAGAAACATCGACCAGTTGCCTCTTGCATACCCCCTACCGGGGATGTGCCCGCAGCCAACGTACATGCCCCTGACCGGAATCGAACTTGGGACCTTTCAGTCCACAGACCGACACTCTACCACTGAGCTAAACTAGTTTCGGCTAGGGTTCGATTTCCAATCAGGGCACATGCCCAGGTTGTGGGTTTGATCCCTAGTGTGGGGCATGCAGGAGGCAGCCAGCCGATCAATGATTCTCTCTCATCATTGATGTTTCTCTCTCTGAAATGAATAAAAATGTTTTAAAATTTTTGGGTACTGACTCTGTAATGAATTTCCCTGGTAGACATTTCTCACTGTCACACAGTTCATCCCTGGTAAGCTTGTCCTGTGTCACTCCACTGGGAGGGAAGTTGAAACTTGATTTCCTATGGGCTTTGCCCTAAATGTCTTTTCCCTTTGCTGAGTTAGCTTTGAATTATTTTACTAATAAACCATAGCTGTGGTTTATATGCTGTGTCCTGAGTCTTCCTAACAAACCATCCAACTGGACGTAATCTTGGGACCCATGATGCAGAAACAAATATTACCAGAACTTGATAACAATCTACTACTATATATAGAAAATTTAGAAATGCATGTTTTGAAATCCTAGATTTTTTGTGTGTGGAAAATTAGTAGGCCATTTTATGAGGTAAATAAAAATGAGTACATTGCTAAAATAACATCCTCATTATATTCGTCAAGATCAGATTGGCTTTCTCCAGGTGGAACAGGGAACTTGGCCATGGCATTTTCAAGGCATACATCTTTGTATAATAGTCTGGCAACCTGAAGGGAAAGCATTTTTTCTACCCGTATCAGTGAGGAAAAATCCTGGGGACATTTCTGGTTGGCTTGATGAGATTCCTATCCCATCTCCTGATGGCCACGGCAATGGTAGATATCATGATTGATCAGCTTAGGGTAAAGCCAGTCACCACGAGAAAGGAATGGGGTATGGCAGCACAGAGATCGCCACTGGGGCAATGGCTTCAAACTAAGAAGTCACCATAATTGTGGGTACAGGGCCCATCTTTTAGCCTTTTAGGTAAGTGGCTTTTTTGTCACTAACTTGTTTTAAAGCACGGTGTTGTTTTCATAAATGTCTGCTGCTTCATTTTCTCGGGGGGGGGGGGGTAGTTTGAATCCCAGCAAATTCACATGAAAAACCCACTACAACCAACACTTTCTGTCAGATAGGATCCTAACTCATTTTATGTCAATCCTACTTGTTTCATTCTCTAAATTCTGCTTTGAGTCTTTGGCTCTGACAGTTTTTGCAAGTACTCTGGTTTCCCCGAAAATAAGACAGTGTCTTATATTAATTTTTGCTCCCAAAGATGCGCTAGGTCTTACTTTCAGGGGATGTCTTATTTTCGGAGAAACACGGTAGATTGGGTTTTGGTAAAAAAAAATGTTATCTATCCTGGTGCTGATAGAAGCTATTTGCTGAGCTTCTGGATCTACCTACCAGGAGTAAGTTGAGACAACTGGTACCTTGGTTGTTTCCCTCAGAAGACTCTGAAACAATGATTTGAGTGCAAGTTGCTTACTTACGAAGTGATCCCAGGAAACTCCATTTGGGGAGTGGCGAAGTGAAACAAGGAAGGTAGCCAATTAAATATCTGCTATTAAGCCAGCTACCACAGCATGTGATTGGAGTTTAATCCTGCTGGGGAACTCTGGCCATCAATATTGAAGCAGCAGCTCAGGATTGTTCTTTTTTTTAAAAAAAAAAAAATGTATTTTGTATTGATTTCAGAGAGAAAGGGAGAGGGATAGAAACATCAATGATGATAATCATTGATTGCCTGCCTCCTATATTCCCACTTGGCATGTGCCCTTGACTGAAATCGAACCCCGGACCCTTCAGTCGCAGGCCGATGCTCTATCCGCTAAGCCCAACTGGCTAGGGCTCTCAGGACTGTTCTTATGGCGGTAAAGGGGCCGGCATATTAACACTCCATCTCCTGAGGCATTAGTTGAGAGCTGCTCCCAGGGTGATAACCCCAGATGCTTCTGGTATGCTATTCCCGGGAAAAGCAGGCTTCCAATTTTAGGAAAAAGTCCTCAGGAATGCTTCCATCCAGTAAAACATTTATGAAATAAATCTGTATGACTTTGTTTTTGTTAATCTGTCATTTGTTATGCACCCCCAGCCGAGAACCTTAAAATAGAAAAAAAAGAAAAAGAAAAAAAAAAGAAATTTTTCTTCCCCTATAACATCTTCTATTAGGAGATATTAATAATTAGGAATTACTATTAATTTTGCTACAATAATGGTGATATCAATATATATTAATATGTATATTAATATATATTAATACTGTTAATCCTCACCCAAAGATATTCCCCCCCCCCATACTTTAGAGAGAGGGGGAGATGGAGAGAGAGGGAGGGAGGGAAGGATAGAGGGAAGGATAGAGGGGGAAGAGGGAGATGGAGAGAGAGTAGAGGGAGAAAGAAAGACATTACTTGCTTCCTGCATGTGCCCCAATAAGGGCCAGGGATCGAACCTGCAACCCAGGTGAGTGCCCTTGCCTGGGAATGGAACCCAAGACCGTTAGGTTTGCAGGCAGATGCTCTACCCACTGAGCAAACTGGCCAGGGTATTACATATATTTTTACGTTCTTACAGTTTTCCTGGAAAACCAAATCGAACACGTATTACATGAAAATTTCTATACCTCAGTATCAGTCTTTTGTGGAAAGGCAAGCTTTACTTTAAAGCAACCTGACCAGAGCAGCCAGGGGGTCCAGAACCACAAACCAGTAGCAAGGAGAACACAGCAACATGTTCAACTGGCAGGGAGTCAGGAGTCTCACCAAGTCTGAGACTCAGTTTCCTCTTCAGGCTGAGCCTAAAAAGGTAGGCTTGAAGACGCCCATGGTATCTTTGTTATCCAAACACACCGATTTCAAAAAAAAGAAAACACCTGGAGGCATCTTGGGGGGATCTGCTTAATTATTAAAATAAATATTTACACCGACATACAGTTATTTTAGTTCTTCACATTTTCACACTCAAAAGAGACACGGAGATTTCCTTCATGTTTTCAGCAGGTGAGGTGGTAAAGATCCTGTCTCTGTGTCACAGGAAATGTATTACTTTCAGTTACTCCTCAGAACAGGCAACTGGAAGATTAGTCCATCACTTTCGAAGGGCTGGTTGGGTTGGCATCTGCAATGGTAGCCAAATAAATGAGATTTCTGTGTAGCACATGCTGGTACCTGTGGGTGGGAAACAGGCAAAAGTCAGTCTTGTTTTTACTGAACATGAACAAACAACTGGGAAAGCATTTACCTACGCAGTGGAAAGGCTCGTCGGCTGACTGATGACTCAGCGCTATCAACCTTGTTTAACACTTTCGGGGAAAATATATCCAGAACCGTACCTGTTCTCACTTATTTCCATAGGCACCTCTCTAGTCTATGGTACTGAACCAAACTCCTAACTGGTCCCTTGCTCTCCCTCTGTACCCCTACTCTCTTCTCCACATAGCAGCCTGAATGATCGCTGTACAATTTAAGATCATGTCATATCTGTTTAGTACTTTTTAAAAAATATATATTTTTATTGATTTTTTTACAGAGAGGAAGGGAGAGAGATAGAGAGCCAGAAATGTCGATGAGAGTAGAAACATCGGGAGGCCCCCTCCTGCACACCCCCCACCGGGGATGTGCCCGCAACCAAGGTACATGCCCCAGACCAGAATCGAACCCGGGACCTTTCAGTCCGCAGACCGACACTCTACCACTGAGCCAAACCGGTTTCAGCTCTGTTTAGTACTTTTCAAAGGCTCCTATCTCATTCTGAGTAAAGCTGAGCCCTTCTCCTGGCCTACAAGGCCCTATAAGATCGGTCCCCTCTAGTTACCTCTCAGATCTCATCTCCTTCTATCTTCCCTTGGCTCACTGAGTTCTGGCTACGGCGGCATCCTTGCTGACATCTAAAGACATGGAGCACACTCCAGCCCGAGGGCTTTTCCACTTCATGCTCTGCCTCAGAACTGCACCGCTGGCTCCCTGACCTCAGGCTTCTACTCAGATGTCACATCAGAGATACCTGGTATAAAACAGCACCCAAACTTTATTCTTATTCACAGAGTTACCAGCATGTGCTTAATTAGATAATTTCCTCCGGCTGGGCTGGCATCTGCAATGGGAGCCGGATAAGTGAGATTTCTGCGTGGCACACGCTACCCAGAAGGTAAGCTCCACGCCAGCAGAGCTCCTGTTTTGGTCCCGATTTCCCAGTAGCTAAGACAGGGAAGCAGGAAGCATGGCAGGTGCAATGTGAAAAAGCCCACCAGGAAACCGATAACTTTCTTACCCATAGGTTGAGAATCACTGCAGCAAACGAAATGCTTTGCAACTATTTTTCATACAGAAAAATGAGAGTGTTTACTATAAACTGTAAAAAAGCAAATGACCAAATACCAGAATCAAAAGTAAAAACTTAGCCGAAACCAGTTTGGCTCAGTGGTAGAGCTTCAGTCTGCAGACTGAGGGGTCCCGGGTTCGATTCTGGTTGGGGGCATGTATGTTGGTTGCGGGCATATCCCCGGTGGGGGGTGTGCAGGGGGCAGCTGGTCGATGTTTCTCTCATCGACGTTTCTAGCTCTCTATCTCTCTCCCTTCCTCTCTGTAAAAAATCAATAAAATATATATTTAAACTAAAAAAAAAAAAAAAAAAAAGTAAAAACTTATCCAAAGACAAATTATCTCTACTATTCCACTGAGCTGTTCCGTGAAGGATTGTAGGTGATTTTTAGGAGGGTTGAGGGGTGGGGAGAAGAGAGGAGAGGCATGGTTTTCTTAAACATGACTTCAGTAACAATGAAATAATGTATTTTTCTATAATAAATAGCGTAATTCCTGGACTACATTTAGAAAACAGATTATTTTCCCTCACCAAAACACACCACATTACTGTACAAAATTTACCTTTGGCTTCACTTAGAAACCTTCCATTGGTCTGTGTGTGTTCATGTTGCAAAGTGAGAAATGGGAGGGAACTTAGCCACCAAATGGCCTGACCCACCCAACGTAACAAAAAAAAGGAGGAGCCAGGGATCCTCGTTAAGACGGCAGCCACCCCTTTATTTCCTCTCAGGCTGCCTCTCCTGAACTGTAAGGGTCCCCAAGAGACTTGGGGAGCAGATGGGCAGTGGCAGCTCACCCCAGACTAACCCCAGAATCTGTCTCCAAGGCCCCTTTCCTCTGACTCTCCAGTGAGCCAAAGCAGCTCCGCCTAAGCTCTCTCCTGCTGCTTCTCCCATCCTAAACCCTTCCTTGTTTCACTCTTCCTAGCTTTAATAAACGTACCCTAAAAACAAAAAAGAGAAAGCAGACACCAATGGCATCTCCTAAGACCACTTTTCCACGTGCATCCCTCCCCGTCCCCGCTGTCATCGACTGGCACGGCTTCCGGTGAAGAAGGCTTTGCAATGAGCCTAATTCAGGTTCCGAAGAGGGTGCTACATCTGACTCCAGGCTTCACAGGGTCCAGTCCTACGGTGCCGGGCAGGCAAGCCACTTCTCTGACCCTCCTCTGCCACCAGTCACCCACGACTAGTTCAGGACAGCTTGCTGAATCACCACACTGACTTCCAAGCGATTCAAAAGCAAGGGCATGTACACATAAGGAACTGTTTGACGTTGACATTGGGACTCAAAAGAACTGTTGGCCCAGAAAGGAACTCGCTACAGTCTGATTCCTTTGCCTCTCAGCATAACCACTACGGCTTGTCTCAGTTTTGGTTCTTATAAGGGTATTTCTTGAATCACGTGATCTCACGCATCTAGGGGGAACTAATGAGCAACATAAACTGATGAACAAAAACAGACCCAGAGACAGAGAAGCTGCGATCAGACTGTCAAACCTCAGAGAGAAGGTAGGGGAGGGTGAGGGTAAGGGGGAGAGATCAACTAAAGGACTTGTGTGCATGCATATAAGCCTAACCAGTGGCCAGACAACAGGGGGGTGGGGCCATACGTGGAGAGGGGTTTGGGATGGGAATAGGACAATTATGTGATACCATAATCAATAAAGAAATTAAAAAAAAAAAAGCAAAGGGAGGGAGCTGGGACTTACTGGACGCACTCGTTCGCCCGGCCTTTGTTCTGGTACTCCACGATACAGCGGATCAGCTGGTCATTCTCCTCCAGGAGCTGCCCGATCAGAGAGAAGGGTCAGAGCCACACGACATCCTGGCGCTAAGGAACCTGCCCCAGGTCTCACAGCCCAGGGCCCGGCTCTCCTGCCCCCGGCGCCTTTGCTGACTCTGTTTCCATCTCAGCCCTTGCCCCAGAGCCAGCACCCGGGCCCACGGAGTCCGCGGGGAGGCCGCCGCTGCAGGAACATTCCCGCCCCCGAGGCCCTCTTCCGGTCCGCCGCTAAGAAACCCCGCCCCTCGGCTCACCCGCTGGATTGTCTCCTGATTGACTTGCGCCTTGCCTCTCAGCCAGTCCGGGACGAAGGCCACCGACATCCCGGGAAGCCGGGTCGCCACCGGGTCTCAGGCCCCGGAAACTCCCACGTCGCTAGCGCGGAGCTAACCAGCAGCTCCACACACACCCCCGCGGCGGAGGCTGGGGCCCTGGGCAGGTCGGGGTTAGCTCTCGACGTTGATTGGATCCTCCCGCTTAGGAGGCGGGAACTGGCGGAGCGTCGCTTGTGATTGGACGCGGGGTTTAGCTGTGGGTGGTGGGTCCTTTGCGGTTGCGCAGTCTGGAAAGCTGGCTTGGGGCGGGGCCTGGCACCGACGCTCGCTTTTTAACACTCTGTAGTCTACGTGCAGGGGCGTGCCGTGCCCGGGTCTCTCGAGAATTGTAAGAAAAAGCAAATGACCAAATGTAAAAGCTTACCCAAAGATGGGTTATCTCTGGATATAATCGGAGCTGGAGCCCGGAAAGCGGGCGCCAAGTCTACTCCGCTTCCGACATCACTCTCTGGATTTGCGCCTTGGGGGGATCCCGGGGCACTGTCTCCTCCCAAGCCAAGTCCTCGCAGGGCCAAGGAAAACATTGGTGAGCTTTATTATTTGCTGAAGGACAACTCACACATATACCTGTTTGTTCTGTGGGCAATAATAATGCTTTATTAGGTTCACACGAGGCATGAATACCAGGGGGTCCCCTGGAAGGTCGTCTTGGACTCTGTCATAACGCTCTCTTGGGTTTTGTGTTTGTTTTTTTTTTTTTTTACATTGAACTGCAACCTGTATATTCCATTGACAATATTGACATCCCAAGCAGGAGTCTCAAAGATGACTCACATTCAACGTGTCTAAGAGGGAACTAAGGACCAATCTTCCCTCCAAAATCAGATCTTTTCCCTTTGTTCCCCATATCTACGAATCCCTCCACCATCCACCCATTCACTCAAGGCTAGACAGTGGCATCCTTCTTGAAACTACTTTGTCACCCTTTCACATCCAGTTCATCACCAAGTCCTGTTGATTTTGCTCATACATTTCTCTGCACACCGCCTAGTCCTCTTCCTCATCAGCATCGCTCTGGTCCAAGTTCCAGCTTCATCCTCTCTTATCCAGATGACTGCAATTGGCTTCCCACTTGGTCTGACCACAGCTTCCAGGAATCTTCTCCATTTGGGTCTTCTCTTCAGCAGCCAAAGTGATTTTTACAAAATGCAAACTTTTTACAAAACCTTTAACTTTCTGCCATGGCCTACAAGATCCTACGTGGTCTTACCTCTTCTAGTCTCTCTAGCGGCTCTCACTTTATTCTCTAAAGTCAGAATTTCATTTTTTCCCTCTTTTTTTTGGTGGCAGTATAGGCGTAACATAAAACTTACCATTTAACCATTTTAAAATGGTCAATTCAGTGGCACTTAGTAAATTGATATTGTTGTGCAACTATCACCACCATCAATTTCCCCCATATTGCATCTTGTCCAACTGAAATTCTGTGCCTATTAAATACCAGCTCCCCAACTTCTTGTCATCCCTCAAGGAGTCCTGTTGCCTTCCACACAGAGTTCTCTATACATCCCGTTCCCTCCTGTCCAAAACACTCTTCCTTTTTGTCCTGGTAGCTACTAAGCCACGTTCTCAGAGAGGCATCACTGGACAACAAAGTCCAGGCCAGAAGACCCTGTAAATTCTCATTAAAAAAAAAAAAAAAAAAAAAAAAAAAAAAAAAAAAAAAAAAGCCTGCTCCTCTCTGAAGAGCACATATTTCAGTTTGTATTAAACACGTGTGGTGTAATCGTTTGATGGGTGCTGTCACTCTGCCCTCCGCTCTTCACGTAGTTTTTAGTGTCAGGAGTTCCTCGCCATGTCCGCAGTGCCTGGCACACAGCAGGTGCTCAACATTTTTGGAAAGAATACACATGGATGAACTCTGCTACCCAGTCTCCCTTGAACTCATCTGTGGGTGCTTCCGACCCGGACCGGGGTGTGTCCCTAGACTTTGGCATCTCTTCCAGGCTGGCAGGAGGCTGTGCTCTTTGGATTGCATATCTCGGGCCTTGCCCCCAGCCGCGCGGACCTCGGAACCCACGCCCGGGGCGCGCCGCGCCTTCACGCTGAGCCTCCTCGCCTCGGCGCGTCCGTGCTGTTCGCTGCTCCGGCAGGAACCGAGCTTAGACCGTGAAGCCTCCTGCCACTTCCCGGCGTGGGAAACACGGTCCTGGACCTCACACCCCGGCGGGTGAGCGCGGGGAGAGGGAAAGAAAGCTGGGAGGCGGGCGCCCAGCCACGCCCCCTCGGCCTTTGGGTTCTAGCCCTTTAAGAACTACTTCATTCTCAACCGGGCCGGGAGGGGCGGCGGAGTCACGCCAGGATTGGTCGGTTCGGGCGCGAGTGTTGCTTAGCAGCAGCGAATGGGCATTGGAGTCTCGCGCACGCGCACTGTCGCCTACCTGCGCCTGGGCTGCCAGTGACCCGGGCTGGGTCTGCCCCGTGGGCTCAGGTAGCGGACGAGGCGGCGGGTGGCTCGGCGGCGCGGAGGGAGGCTGCTGACTCCCGGAGGCCGCCGCCCGGGAGAGGTGAGGGCTTGCGGGCGGAGGCGGGCGTAGCGGCCCGTTAGCCGACCGCAGGCGGAGTCGGTGTGGCGCGCAAGGCGGGCCTGGAGGTGGAGGCGATTCCGGGCCCGCCCCTCCGATCAGGCCCAAGTGGTAGAGCCCAGGATTCAAACCCAAATTTTGTTACTTAAAATATTTTAAAATATTAAAATACCGGGTTCTGTGGGGCCTCCCGGAATCGCCTGTCTCCCTTTCTTGTGGTCGCGAGCCCTCCCAGGCGCGCACCTGCAGAGCTGTCAGCTGTTAGCTGGCGCTCAGGGCGCCGCTTCCTGTGGGAGGAGATGGGTGTGTCCAAAAGAGAGGGCGGGCGATCATTTCCTTAATTATCCGCGAAACTCAGGCCAGGAGCATTGTTTCATGTTAATCGCAGACTTCCCTCAGCGTGCAGATCTTACAAGATTGGGTTGACCAGATCGTGGTTGTACGGGGCCAGCTTTTCCGAGCTCCAGGTGTAGGAGGAGGTGGTGTACTTTTGTGTCCATTGTTAAGCTTACATCTAGACCTCCAATGCCAGAGAGAGAGAGAGCAGCCCCGGGAGAAATTAGGATTGGAGCAGTCAAAGCCACAAAAGAATATTATTACCAGTGTTGAAGAGTAATTGGTGAAATCTGCAACATGATCAGAAGAAAAAAAAAATCAAGTAATACGATAAGAAAGGAGCCATTGCGACAGGTGCATCCTAGGCCTGGTGCCTAGGAACAGGTCTGTGATTAGTTTTGAGTATCAGTGCCCTAGGAGAAGGAATTGTTCTAGAGAAATGGAGTGGCTGTAATACCAAAGATTGGATTTGAGAAGCAATAGCGTAGCGGAAAGATGATAGGCTTTCGAATGTTTTAAGTAACATTTGGGTTTGAGGGTTTGAATCCCGGCCCTACCACTTGAGCCTTGCAGCTGCACTATTCACACCTGGCCAGTGTAGATTATGCCTACTTCATAGTCACGCGCACTAAATAACATGATCAATGTAAGAGTTTCTAGCACAATGCCTGGTGTATAATATTAGGTGCTATCAAGTTCAGTGCCCTCCTTTCCGTAGCACTTAACAAATGACAGTTGACCTCTCCCCTCCTCCCCACTCCATCCCCAAGCAAAGTGAAACAGAGATACCTTCATGATCTACAAATCTTAAGTCGTGTGACTGAGAGTGAATTCAACAAGGGTGACATGACTCAGTTTTGTTTTCTGTACTGTGTATATAGGCAGTACGCCTTATGGTGAAAATTTGTGTATGAATCTCTGTGCACCAAATGAAACTTGTTTTGCTTGTTTCAGTTACTGTTTTGCAAAGCCTGGTCATTTCTCAGGGAGAGTGTTAAGGGAAAAGGGGAGAGGAAACAAATAAACAAACTTTGGGGTCCAGGGTGGCCTCTAGCAAGACACAAAAATTTTGCTGGTAGAATAGGGATTATCATGACATGAGCAGTTTATTTATAAATAGAGCTGAGAAGAGGATTTAGGAAACAGAGGAGGCAGATTAAAATACTTGGTCAGATCTAGTAGGACCTCAGTCAGGGAAGGTCTCATGGAAGGGTGGATTGGAGATAGGCCTTGATGTGTGCTTGGGAGATCAGAAAAGTGGCAGATAGAGATGAAGAATAGGCACAGAAGTAACGAGAGTGGTGTGCATTCTGGGGGCTCCCATTTCCTGCAGCTCACAGGAACTGAGATGCCAAAAAGTTTACATGCCTAGAGCTCTTTGGAAGAAAAGCACCTATTCACATCCTCTCAAAAACAGCATCTGTGACACGGGATGTGTGGGTGAGTGGAAAGACCTGTTCAAGCTGAGATGGCCACCTCACCAACCCCCGGTTGCGGGGCTGCCGCGTGCAGATGTGCATGCTACGCCCTGTACAAGCACCTGCAGTTAACAGATGGGGCCAAAACCCAGCCAGGCTGTCAGCAGAACTGGCCCAGGCTGCTTCTACGGGGGAAGTACCTTGTTCTAATTTGCCAAAGGCACCAGGAGAACTCAGAATCTGTTTCCTTTGGCTTCTTAACGGTGTTCACATATCAAGGCCAAATATTGAGTATCTTACTGTAATACAATTTGCTAAGTGATTTCCCTTAACCATCTGTAGGAGCTCAGTCATCATTTTGAAGACTGGCTCTGCATCAAAAATTCGCAGAAATTCAGGAGGACACGCTGTACTCTCTCAGCTCCATCTTTGCCCTCTGCTCTCCTGCCTACCTACGTTAGGTTAGATGCTTAGAATCCCTAAACTGCCCAGCACCTACCTCCCTGGGTGACCTGAAATGCTCAGGTCCCCGGACCCCATGCCTGCTGCTTCAGCATCGGGCACATGCTGTCCCTTTGGAGTCATCTTGCTACCTGTGTCCTGCTACGCACCGCCGTTGCTGCTGCTCCTGAGCCCTCTGTCCCTGATTCCTTGCTTCTCTGTTCCTTTCTACCTCATCCTGGTTGGTTGAATTTTGAAAAAGAAGAGATTCACTAGAGAAAAGGAACAGGAAGATTACAAGAAAAGAAGGGACCCGGAGGATAATGGACGGGGGGAAATTGGGAGTGACAGCCCTAGAGGTCAGGGAAATAATAATAGAAGCAACATTCGCAATTA